AAAAATGTACCTTCCCTAACAGTATTTTTTTTGTTGGTAAAAAGTATATAGAAAACCACTATAATTTACTGAACAGTATTTCCCCTGCTAATACAATTATATATTTCCTCATACACTTCTGTATGTTTTAGGTTTACAAAGATACTGATGAAGGAGAACGTTTTATTCAGTTTTACCATGTATCAAGCTTTCCTTATCTAGCAGTAGTGGACCCTAGAACAGGTAGGTCTTGTAAACCAAATGATAATAATTACCTCAGAAATTATTTCTAGATTGGGATTGTTTCCTTGTTCTTTGACATAACTTGTAAGCTTTTGGTCTTTTTCATCCAGGTGAGAAGCTCATGAACTGGGGATTTATGGATGCTTCAGCATTTTGTGAAAATGGTACGGAACAATATTTATTCAATCATTTCAAGCCTTATATTTTATTTGATTTTTATGATATGGGATTTTCATCTACAGCAACAGAATTCATTTTCAACCACTCTGGTCTAAAAGAAGAAACTCCTCCAGCTAAACGAAAGAAAAGGGTTAGTATTAAAACTTAATTATAGGTGTATAGACGTTATTTTTTCTGCTGTCAAATGTAACTGTTTTACTGTCATTAAAGTCCTTTCGTTTCGTCATTTTATTTATCATTTTAGGAGTCAATTGTTGATGCATCTGAAGATTCCCAACTTGAAGCAGCCATAGCCGCTTCTCTTCGCTACTCAACCTCAACTGTTAATGATAATGGCAGTCGTGATGGTGATGGCAATGATGGTGATGATGATGACGATGATGATCTTAGATTTTCTGATTCAGAAGATGATGAAGAAACATGGAAACCTCAAAAAATATCAAAAGGAAAAACTACAATTAACACTTTAATGAATAATAAAAATCCAAAGGACAGTACAGCTAGCACTTCATCTAGTAATGCTTCAAAAGACAATGTAGAAAATGAGAAAAATAGTCACACTTCTTCAAGCTTGGGGGGAGTTGTTACATGTAAGTCAGACACTGGAAATACAAATGAGGCAGAGGAAGCCAGCACAGGAGTATCTTCGACATCATCATCTACTGTTAGCTCTACCATATCGTCTAGTTATAACATGGAATGCTATAATAAGTGGAAAAAGGAAACTGGTAGGTATTGTCCTATCTTGATGCAAAATTTCCGTGATATGGCCCTTTGTCGTTTCTTGTGCACATTTCAGACCATGTTATGCCACTCTTGGGAAGGGAGTTGATTCTTTCATATGTAAATGTTTATACATGTTTGTCAAAAGAGAACAGTTCTCAAGGGAAAGTCATGTGTTTGGAAATGGGCAATTTGCATAACAAGTTAAAAAGTTCTATTACAATAGACTTATAATGTTATAAGTTAAGTTAAAAGTAAAATCTGACTCAGTGGTAGTAAAAAATGTGATCCTAAAGTTGTTGTTGGTAAGGTGTCTTTAGACTGACAGGGGGATGTTGCAAGGTTTCGTTTTAAAATATGGCATAAGTTGGTGTTAAAACATGAAGGTAGACCATCATGGTAACAGTCAAGGAGCTAGAGTGAAGGCATTTAACCCGTGAAGTAAAAAATACTAGTCAACGTTTAATAGTCAAATAGACACAAAAGAAAACAATGGAATTAAGGTCTATTAAAGTATATTAATCAAATATCTATTTCACAGGTTTAATGACTTCACTCTATAGTAGAATGTTGGTACTGTGTTGGATGCTGGTTGGTTATAGTAGAGTGTTAGTAATGTGTTGGATGCTGGTTGGATAATGGTATGCTTTTGTCCAACACCCTAAAATTGTCGGCTTTAATTTTAGGCTTATATCATACTCTGATCAGCTAATAATGCTCTTTAACTGAATAGAATCAAATGTATGTTTCTAAATGGTGTTAATTGCTTATTTTTGTCTTAAAGATGAAATGTGTAAAATAATGCTACGCTTTCCAAATGGGGGAAGAAAACAAGTCTCCCTCAGTGCAGAAGCACCACTTCTGGTGAGTAATATTATAAACCCTGAAACATCCTCTTGGCTGATCTAAGTCAGGGCATGGCTAGCTCACAGATTGAACCCTGAAACAACCTCTGGGCTGATCTAAGTCAGGGCATGGCTAACTCACAGATAAAACCCTGAAACAACCTCTGGACTGATCTATGTCAGGGCACAGTTAAATATAATACAGCTCACGGGAATGTTAACATTTCATGTGTGCAAGTCACATGTAGTACACTCCCAATCGTGTAGTGCCTAAGTAAGTACACCATACTACATGTGACAAACATGCTTATAATTTCCTCATTAACTAGTGCATTTTTTCGTATTCACAAGGATAAATAAATCAAATCAAGTAAAATAATTTTACAGAGAAAACAAAGTTTGAAATAAAAAGAGTGTGGGGTTAGTTTCACGAACATGAACTGATAACGGCAAATACGTTTACTAAGTTTATGGTAAAATAATATGGCTTTTCTGAATATGACACTTGTCAAAAACTTTCAAAACTTTTACTTTTGCCTACATATATTTAAAAAAAGTTCTTGTCAGCGAATTATTATGGCAGTAAAATTGTCGCTTCATGGCTATCATGTGATGCCAAGTCCAGGAATTGGACCTGACACCTAAGCCAGACACTACAGATTTATCCTCATTTCTTTTCGTTTTCCTTCAGGCTCTGGTACAGTTCGTCCAGTCAGAGGGTTACCCAAATGAAAAGTTTGAAATGCTTACGAATTTTCCCAGAAAAAAGTTATCATACCTGGACTTCACAGTAACATTGAAGGAGGCTGGTTTATACCCTCATGAGACTGTATTTGTCCAGGAACGATGACCATTGGAAACATGTCCTACCGTTCTTTAAATCCCATGCAATAACCATCCTTGCACATGAAGATACCCAGTATACAGCTATTTCAGAAAAGGTTGGTGAAGGTTCTGTTGCATGTTGTATACCAAGCCCCAAATGCCACTATAGGCGATAAGAATAAAATCAGCGAAAGGTCACGATAATGTTAGCCTGCGCTGTGTCTGGAATTTTCTGTCGTAAAGTTTACGAGTAAATGTTCGGAGGCACGCAGGCTACAGTAATGTGAACTTTTGGAATTTTCCCAATCTTTGTATATGCATTTGTTCGACATTATTTACATCATTAATTCACATTACATTTATGGATTGGTATGCAATGTGCAACAAAACTTTCACCAACCTCTGTTGAAATAGTTGTAAACAGACCATCGCCACTCAAGGTTCTTTTATTTGCACTGTACTAATGCTGGGAAAACTGTTATGTTTTCCTCCGATCTTTAAATCTTTAGTTTCTACTGTTACACACATTTGAAAGCCAAAGTTGGCAAACATGACAAGATGGGGTTGCTGTAGAAAAATATTTTCTTGTACAAACCAGGTCATGCTGTATCCACAAATTATATTGAGAACGAATGCTCACTGATAACATTCCTGACAAGTTTTTCATTAGCATTAGTCCATTTTCTGTTGGTGTATGATAAACCACAACTGACAAAGTATATTATAATCATGTGTTATTATGTAATACCTATTCAGAAACAAAAACATGTACATTGTAAAATTAAAGCTATATTTTAGAAATGAACTGTTGTTATTGTCTCCTCAAAAAATATCAGTTAACTCACACCGAAACCCTCACACCATACTAAAAGGTGTCAGTGGTAGGAGGTGGTAGGTGTCGGCGGAAGTAGTTGTTAAAAGAAAAAAATGCAGAAATTGGATCAGGGACCCTAGAGATATGTTTTCATTTGGGGAAAACTATTCTAATTCAGGGGATAAGCAACTTGGAAGTATTGCGGGAGGTAAATTCCTCAAGGAGCAACTCCACTAAGGTGGCTGCACAAGTATTTCCATATAACAAGCATTTCCAATTTCAAATAAATATGGTAAGGGTTATAACTCAATAAGTCATACATTATCGTTTGTACCATTATATACAGTTAAGTTAGGCATGCAGTGGCAGTCTAGTAACACTATAGGACTAGTACATCCTCTCCCACAACTCCTCTCTCTGCAGGTTCATCTGCTTGTGACTCTCCACCCTGTTTCTTGATGAGACAATTTCTTTTACATTCTAGTAGTTTGGTCAGGTCCTTTGAACAAACAAACAAAACAAGTCAATCAATACATCATTTTATTTAAGGAGGGTGCAACTGTTACAGTTTTCACTGACAAAACTGTGGCTCTCCATAAGTGAGGTCCATGAAAGGAATACTGGTGAACTTCATGCTATTGTTGAATTTTGAAGGCCAATAAAGTTGTTAAAAAATAAAATAATAAAAAAACTCCAATTGGAATTCAGTGCATAAAAAGGCACTCTGGAAATGCAACTGACAGTTATATCCCATTTATTACATTTTATCAACCTCTTTTTTACTGAGAAAAAAGTATGTTGCTTGGCTTCTACTGGGGCCATATAAATAAACAAGTTTCAAGTCAATTTCAATTTTTATAGTGCCCCTTTAAAGCATTGTAAAATAACTGTTTACACTAAAAAGAAACATACTGTCCACATCTTCATCTGTTTCATGTTTGGGCCTTGACTCTCACGCACTGCTTTCTGTTTTTCACGAAGACTCTAAAAATGAAATTTTTAAGTAGAATTAAAAAGTCGACAACAAAAAAAAAAAAAGAAAATGAAATGCGGAATTAGACTTCTGATCTGGAAGAAACAAGCGAAGGTATTTTTTCCACTGACCTTTCCAAGGTTTTCTTGTTCTTGTATTTTCCTTGTGTACTGTTCCCTGTAAATACAGACATTGAGTGACTGTTTAGTACAATAAAGCTAGCTTTTGTTTACAAACAGCATTGTGATGCTAATTCGCCAACCATTATCATTAATAGTTCTTACTAAATTGCTTTGTTTTATTAGTGAATCGATTTCTGGTTGTCAAAGTAATAACAATAGCTTGCATTACAGCAACTAGCGCTATTGTCGGAGTGGAAACCCACTATGAGTACCTACCTCCAAGCCTTCTTTCTTTCTGCAGGATCCTGTGCTGTGTAGGCTTTCATTTCATCCTCAATACGTTTTTGTTGGATCTCAAGTACCTACGACCAAACACATTAATTGATTGACTGACTAATTCATTTATTAATTCACTCTTTCATTCATTCATTCATTCATTCAATTAGTTATTAATTGAATTCTTTTATTTACTTTTATTCACTCATTTACTTATTCTTTCATTTACTTTAATTCACTCATTTAGTAATTCATTTATTTTTCATTGATTGACCACAGCATTTTTGTCAACATCTTAGGACATAAAGAGTGAGCAGAATAATACAGTACCTTCATCATACAGTTCAGATAGTGATAGCGACTCTCTTCATTTGAGATTTCTTCACGAAGTCCTCTTACTTCCTGTAGGATAAGCAAGTCAAACCAGTTAACCAACCGGCTGCACCACAGCAGCCCTGATACAATAGGTCAAACAATCAACCTCAAAAAAAAATCAATCTTACTTGTTCTAGTTTGGAGAGGTTGCTGTCCAACCCTATTGCAAGGTTTTCATATTGTGCTTTCTTCTCTTCATAATCTTCAGTAATTTCCTGTCAAGAGTATCACCAAAAAAAACACTATCAGCATTATGTAGCAGGGCCGTAACCAGAACTTTTACAGGGAGGGTGCACATCGAATAAAATCGGACCATTGATCGGTTTTTAGTACCAACTCAGTGGCGTAGCTAGGGATCTTGCAGGGAGGTGCACAGCCAATGATTTGCAGAACCAAAAAAAAAAAGGAGATAGATGAGCGGACCTTAAGCTTTTATGGGGGGTGGTGCACGTGCACCCTGTGCTCCCCTCTGGTTACAGCCCTGTGTAGATGCATCTCCCAATAGTGTAATGATTATATTCATAATTATTAGACATCTGGGCCTGGTCATAGGAAGGATGGATAGTGCTAGATCCAAGGATAAATCCTTATCCAGTAGATAAGTTGATGCTGTTATCCGATAAATTTATCAACTACTACTGGATAAGTTTTATCTGACAGATAGCACTATCCACTCTTCCTACAACCAGGTCCTGGTGGCTCCAAGGTGGTCTAGCATACTTGACATTTTTGCCTCATGGGGCGGAGTTCCTTGATAATAGGTGCCAATGCATTCTTTTTTTCAGCAATGGTAGCATTCATGGTAACAACCTGCAGAATTAATTGAAGACAACATGAAAAACAAAAAGACAAAATGCTATGTACATCTTTTCTTGAGCTGCATGTACACTCTTTTGACCTTCACTTTCTCTTTCAGTTAATTTTCCCATTCCCATTTCCTCCCCTCTTTCCCTTTCCCTTCTCCTTTCCACTACCCTTTGTTTTCCCTTTTTCCCTTCCATTAATAATTTTTCTTTTTGTTTCCTTTTCTCTTTCCCTTTCACTTCCTCTTTCCTCTCTATTTTTATCTTTCTTTCTGTTTTATTACCAAAATGTAAACTGTCTGATAAATTCCATAACTCTCTATCGTGAATTCCAATAAATGCAAATAAAATCCTGTGACTTACCAATTCTGAAATGTCCTCAAGAGTCTTTCCCTTCTGCTCATCAAGATCACTCTTCACAGTTGATACTTTTTCCAGTTCTTCTTGTGTGTCGTGATATCCAGACACACCTTGCTTACTTTCTAAGTTAGACTAGTATATTGAGACAAAAGAAGTCAAAATCAATTATGCAAGAATGCAAGAAAAGAAAACTATGAAAAATTGGTTATGTAATGTGAAATCCCAGTTATGAGCCTTCATTATAAGCCCACTAGTCTGCTAATGTTTATACTATTGATGACACATAAAAGACTGAGAATGAATCTTTTTCCTTCCAGTTATAAAGGCCCCCCTCGCCCAGTTATATATGAGCCCATCAAAACACCCTGCCACTTTTGAATGATTATAATCCCAAGGTTATAAACTGAGATCATATAGTATGATCCTGATATAAAGCATTAATTTACTCACCAAATGTGCTGAAAGGTTTTCATACTTTGAGTTAAGGATCTCTTTAGATCTGGAAAGAACACCATACTCTGCCCGGAGCTCTGCAAGCTGAAAGAAGTGGAGGGTATTTTATAACCACTGATCCAAATAAAGATGACACTGTGTCGAATCACCATGGTAACATTAAGATCAGTGCCAAGATACCCTTTACAGAAAGTACCTTACCTCTTGTCTTTTTTTCTTGTACACTGTACTTTTGCCTCTCAATTTGTTAACATACCTCTTGAACTGAAAAATAAAAGCGTTTTAAAGTAGATTATAAAATACATCCAAAAATAAATTGAATGTAAATGCAAACAACTGAAATTATGGGAAAGCAAATGGGAAATTGTAACTCACCTCATCTCCCTTTAAAACCTCAGCACCCTCACTATCCTTCAGTAGGTCCTTCTTCTTCTGTAGCTCATTTTCCAGACCTGCAGTCTAATTTGTATTATTTAATGAATTAGTAATTCAAATATCAAGCTTGTGATTTCAAATTGACAGACCTTATTTGCTTGGGGATAGGATTTTCCCATTTTAATTGTATTGGGAATTATAATCTGTTTTGAGTTGAACACCGTGAAAAACAACAACAACAATGACAAATAAACAAAACATTTTGGTAAAGCCAAAATTGTCATGGCTAGGGAGATACTACCAGAAGAAACAAAAGCACTTGCCATTAAAAATTTACAGCCACAATAAAGTGGTCCTCATCGATCCCCCATCAGCTATCATCAATCCGACGTCAATCATCAATGATTTATGATTATTCATTGATTTAAAAGTCCTGCATGCCAAACATACCTCATCCATTGCCTCTTTGAGTCTTTCTGCTGCAGCTTCTTTCTTGCGTGAAATAATTGAAGCCTTCAATCAATGAAATCATAAAGATTAGTAACAGTATTTAGTAGTTATTACAACTCAAACAGAGGGGTGTAAGAAATACATGGCATTCATGAAATAAAATTTACATGGCCCCCAAGCTAAGCATTTAGTTATATATTTTAAACTTCTTACCTGTTGTCGGAAAAGTGACAGCTTATCATCAATTGGATCATTCCTCACCATGCATTTCTCAATCAAGGAGTTAATTTCCGTGGATATGGTTTTGATCTAGAGAAAACATGCTGCTGTTAGTGAAAAGTAATGCCACATCTAGAAAACACAGAATTATTGTTTCAGCAATGAATTATCCATCATACCACCCCCCCTCCTCCCCTGATTTGGAGGGGGACTCCTATAAGGTCCAGGGAGTAATATGCTCTGAGCAGGTTACATACTTTCTAGTACTTTGTTTAGTGGGCTTCCTAGTGCCACATGTAAAAGTCAGAATCTTACCTTATCCCTCCGCCCCCCCCCCAAAAAAGGGGGACAAAATAGATATCTAAAAAATAATACATTATTGGTCTAGTAGTCATAGTCAAATACCTTTTTGTTCAGTTCATCCAAGTCTGACTGTCCCATGGCTGGTTCATTAGCCACCTTCTGTAAATCCCTAGCATATTTCTGTTTTGCTTCAATCTCCTAAAGGTTAACATGCATTACATGAATATGAGATTGTAACAAAGAATGTGTAAGTGCGATGTTTATGAGTGAAAGTCTTTTTAATTGTCCTACCTTTGGTAATTTATCTTGGCATAGATACATGTTAACCTTGTTTTCTTCATCTAGTCTCCTGATTAAATCTAAAATACAAAAACAAAACTTAGAGATAAATAGAACTTTCCCAAATTTGCTTGAGTGACATCAAGGAACAATATTGGCTGCAACTTGAGATTGAACATATTAAAATATTGTAAAGCACGAGATTTAATATTATGCATACCTGCTCCTGTTGTACCCATTCCCTGGGCTCGAACATCTTTCAGCTGGTGTGACATTCTTTGGTACCTCTGGTCTGCATGTAGGAGCTAGAATGATATTTTACGTTAATTTAGTACTTGGTTCACGTTCCCCTTCAAATTACATCGATACCCTGAAGGACTTTTGGGCTCATCAAAGTAAGGGCACAACAAATTTGCAGTACAGTAGAATCAGACTTTACATGTAGCTTGTTAGGACTTGTAAGGATTTTTTATAGCTTTTTAGAGGATTGGTTCAAAATAAGTCTTACAGAGGGGAGGGGGGTTGACTCTTAATGTTTGGGAGACACACCACAACTCACCTGGTTTTTCTGTTCCAGTTTCTGCTGCGCCAATGCCTGTTCTTGTTCCCTTTCCACTCTGAGGTTCCTTGCAGCAATCAACATTTGCTCATGCTTTGTCACTGATTCAACCTAAGTGATGTCAAAAGCAATACATTCTGCATTATTATACAGGTTAATATATCACCAGGAAATTCAAAATTGAAAGTTATCATTTTTACCTTCTTTTGCATTCTGCCAATACGTTTTTCCAACTGCCCATGTTCTTCTTCCATGTGTGTTATGTCCTGTAAAAAATGTAAAGCTTTCCTTGGTGTCTTGTAAGAAGTTATATAAAATAAATGTTACAAATCTCGTGTTCTTAATAGTTGGGAGACTGCTTTATGAAAGCACACATAATGCACATAATTAGTTATAGTTATAGCAATTTGCATTTTACATTGTGCTTTTCCCAACATGTGTTCTGTTCCCTGCATGCTTTATGACTGTAGTATATTCATGTGCACACAATTTGCTATTTCTTCAATAATATAATTGCTACCATAATACAATGCTAATGTTTCCATTATTACAAGTGGCTTGAAAACTGTAGCTCCCCTGCAGCATCAACTCTCCTAACACCACTACATGTATACTCATGCCTTACTAATTTATTACACTATGAAACCCTGGTTAATAGCAACACCAAAGGGACAAGCCAAAGTGGCCAGCCATATTAGCTGTGTCTCCATTTAAGCGGGTTACTTTAATAGCAAATATATGCATGGGTGTTTGATAGGGACCAGCTGTATAAGGCTGTTCATAATAACCGGGTAGCCATATATAATTATGTTACCTTTTTGATCTCTGATGTTGACATCCCAGAAGAGCGCAGTTGTTCAGCTTCCTTGTGACATTCTTTGAACTCTTCAATCATCTGCCCATACTTTGAAGTAAAGAACAAAACTAACAATCAAAAGGTTTGACATATGCAAAACAGATACAAGTCATATTATAATAATTATAATTATAATCTTTAAGTTAAGTTTGATCTCATACTACTTTCTTGACTTAAACACAGCTGATCAAGTCGGCCATATAGTACCACTACGTTTAATAATCTATAAACCCACTGTCAACTAACCAGCTAACTAATATCACTTTTATGGAGTGGGGAATACCAGAATAGTCCCCTTCACAGTTCCCTGCACCATCTTGAAAGGTAGCCATGCCTTTGCATCGAAGCGAGACGAACGATGAGCTTGCTATATGATAGGGACCTGTGAATAATTGTCCAAGGTGTTTAAAAAAAGGTCTATCATTGCAAGCTTACCGTTTGTCTCGCTTCAATGCAAAGGCACGGCTACCTTTTAAGATGGTGCAGGGAACTGCGAAGGGGACTATTGCAGAGAAGAAATCATGGCTAAGGAATTAAACAAGCCAATTCACATAATAGAGCAATTGGGATTGATTTATCTATCCCTCATAGAAAGCACAATCACACTACAGCAATACTTACAGATTCATTGACCTCATAGAGTTCTTGATCTGTCAGCAGGTCTCCAGGTATTTCCATACGAACAAGAAACCTGGCTAGGTATGCCCTTTTCTGTAGGTCTGGGAGATGTTCAAACAGCCATTGCAAGATTGGGTATATAACTTGTTTTTCGCCTGCTACCAGTCCTTGTCGGAAAGGAGCCCTTCAGCAAAAAAAGGAATAAATATGAATATGACTAAGAAAGTGGAAGTGGAGGTATGAGAAAGTGGAAGTGGAATAATGAGAAATAAAGGAGAACACTATTCAGCAAATCAGAAGGCTGCGATTTTATTCGGACTATCACAGTGACATAAAACATAAACATATACTGCGATGAATATATTTCTAATTAAACAGCTCAACTGAAAGCAATATGTACTAATGGGTGGTGCTTCACACAGAGAAAAACAACAGCTTCTCAATGGCCAGACATAATGTGATGACTGGTCATAATGGACAGATGAACATTTGACCACTCAATGAACTATATGGTCAACAGGACTGGCCTAAGATGTGTTTGGCTGCATTACTGCCAGTTTTGACCAGCGATCGTCCATTGCCCACCCATTATTTTAAGCCCTGTATTGCAGTGATAATAAGCCCACCATGACAAAAAGATCTTCATTACATTAATCTAGTACAAGGACTGACGTCACGTGAGGTACTCTATGGACCCATTTAATAGATCCCATAATGCCTTATGTTCCACTTTTGACGTCAAATTTATTCTATGATATTGATATTGGGTGTTTAATGTATTGAAAAAAATCAATTTAATGTCAAGCACAGAAAATAGAGCAATGTGGAATTCATTAAGAGGGCCTACATAAGTATCACAGACTTACAAACTTCCAGCTTCAGTCTTTGGCTTGAATTTTAAAACTCTCAAGAAGTTAAACATTCTTATAGCCATTGCTTCTGGATCTTCCTCTCGTATGTCAATTTTGTTCTAAAAACATTTAACAGCATCATAAGATATTGAAGAAAAAAATCAAGGAAAACTGTTGAAAAATAATGAAATGTCACACCACCCACGTACCACTGGGTTGATTTCAGCAAAAACATCATTAAGTACTTGAAGAAGTTGCAACGGCCGAAGAGAATCAAAACTGAAAAGCAAAGGATATGGTAAAAAATGAGAAATATCGTAAAATGTTGTTGCGACTAACGAGGGATTTGGGTGCCTGTGGAATTTTAAACCACAGGCAGCCCAGGCCTTTGACTCCATCAAAAATAGAGAGAGAGACTTTTAAGTTAAAAAGGGAGTTCAAAATGTTAAAAAGAGATCAAAATGTAAGATTAAAATGGTCATAGATTTACAGAGAGAGAAAAATAATTACTTTCTTTTGCAAATATTTTCTATGGTACTTCATGAAATTATCATATTGAACCTCCCCTAAAAAATAATCTCAACTGTTTAGAAAATTGCTTCAACTTCTACATAGTTTTAAAACAAGAAAAATTCAATGAATAAATTAATGCAAAGACTTTTATTACAGTGTAAGAAATATCTTATTTGTCAAAAAATATAAGTTCCCCTCCATTGTCATAGCAACAACACCAGCTTACACTACAATATAACATTAACCAAAAAGCCTAATGTACCACCTCAAACTGCTAAAAATACTTCTAAAATATCTGTTATACAGTTATTTACTATCAACTCACCTTATGAGGTTGTAGTTCTTCTTGAACGGTTCTTTATTCAACTCATCTATGATGTATTTCATTCGTTCACTCATGATGGCGGCAAACAAGGGGACCTTCGCTTCTCTTCGCTTTTCGTTATTTTTCCTCGCTTAACTCCTCGTCAAAATTACCCCGAATCAATCTAAACTCAAAAATTTCACCACTCTTACATTATGAAAAAAAATTATGCAGAGAAAGGACAATAATTTTAGAGGATAAAATTATATTTTGAAGTTTCTAGCTTCGCTCCATGACGACTATATAAACAGGGGCACAGACAGACTGTATATTTTTGTACCGCAAAGTACTATATATCACAACACGTGAAGCATCCTCGTTTATTACCGCTGACCTATGATCAAAGGTTCCATCACAAAAATTTCTTGGTTGGTTTGTCAAGAAATCTTCTGAAAATAAATCCAATCATTAAGAAAATATGTCAGGAGGTAAGAAATCAAAGATTTTTATATATATTTTTTCAATTCTGTTTAGTAATCAAGGTTATCAAAACATTTTTCCGATTTTTAAATCTCTCTTAAAATGATTTGATGATGTTGTTGTTTTCTAGCTTTCAGTTTTTACTTTACTTATTCTTAAAAAATTCTCAGACCCAGAGGAAGAATCAGATGAAGCTTATGAGGTCATAGAAACGCCAGGGACTGCTAATCACGATCTTTTCTCAGACATTATTTCGATGGATTTGTCCAATAGGACGCCATTGCAACAAATTGGCATTGGTGGAGTCTCAGGATGGTAAATAGAAATCCTATTTACCAATTGTATGGGTCGATAAAAATAAAGATTTTAGATAGGTTGTATATTGACAGGGAGGGTCGAGTGGGGGAGGGTTTGGATAAAAAGGATGGGAAATTAAAATATGCATCAACTTTTGACAATTCTCTGTTAACTTGAAAACATTCTGGGCCCGGTTGTACGAAGCCTGGACAGCGCTATCCGACGGATAAATCTTATCCAGTGAATAAATTTATTGGAAAACAGTATCGACTTATCCACTGGATAAGGATTTATCAGCCGGATATGCCCTGATGTTTATTAACAAAAGTCACGAAATTCAAATCAGAAAGAGGCAACGAAGCCAATAGAGAGTTACACATACAATACCTGATGCTCTGCAACAGCTTTGCGACATAGCATGGAAAGTTTTCTTATCAAAATAATGACACTCTTGCCATGTCTTTATAGCCAGCCCCTTATTGACTGTTTGTCTCATCACACTGTACCCTTATGAGTTGGTGATATGTTGTTGTTGTTGCTTAATTTTAGGTGTTTGGGCTACCTGTGTAAAAGGGTTGGAAAGCTGACCCTCTCAGCAATTGGTGGAGGTCTTCTTATAATACAGGTATTATGTATAATAGGAACACATTCGCTGGACAAAAAACATATCAGTACTTTAACTAACAGTTGCCTGGCAAGATACTCGGATAAGAGCTGGGAGGTAGGGTAGGGAACCTATGAACCTAGCTCTTCCATGAGGTCCACTCCACAGAAACCACAAACAGGCACCAGTTTTGGTGCCCTCCCTCCACCCCTACCCCCACCATTCACACCCACTCTCCAACCCACCCACCCTTATTCCACCTACCACCCATCCACACCCCACTTCCAATTTGGCCAGACTTTACTTTTCTTTAGCTGATGAGTCCTATCTATTTATGTTCAGATTGCTAATCGTACTGGCTACATAAAAATAAATTGGAGTAAAGTAGAAAGAGATGTCAATGAAGTTAGCAAAGGAGTAGAGAAAGAAGTTTATAAGATTGCAAAAGGGAAAAATGATGACAATAAAGTTGTTGAATGGACCAAACGGGTAAGAGTTATTGGTGCTAACATTAAACAATCCTGTTTGTAGATTTGAAAGAAGGGTTCATTGCATTTGTTTACAATGCATGGCAACTAATGCCTAAAAATAGTTTCCAGAGGGTTTCTTTTTCTTTCCATACATTTTTCGAGCACCATAAAATGTAAGAAGCACGCTCCATGGTTCCTTCAAAACAACCCCTCCCGAGCCCCCAAACCCCATCGTTCGTTTGCTGCCTTACATGCCTGCAAGCATAATGGGAAGTAATTAAGTAATTAAGCCCAAATAAAGAAAGAAAACCTTAGGGACCAAGGTTTGAAGCTAGCAATATGGAGAACAGGTTCAGTATTTGATGAGAAAGATAAAATATTTTTGCTTTATTTTTCAGGGTATTTCTTACGCACAAAGAAACATGGCAGCAGCTGGAGGATTTGCAGCAGGATTTCTACTTGGAGTTGCTTTATAGAGATACAATTTACTGCTACTTATGGTGGTGTCAAGCGTATTTTGTAATATTATGTAAATTACCTGTTTGTGCATTTATGACACAAAGAATAGTCTGGTCTGGTTGTCAGATATAGGCTTACAAGACAGCAAGCTAAAATATTAGATATTTGGTCCCCTTACTCAAAGTTTTCAATGAAATAGTTACTTTGACTGACAGGACCCAAAAAGCTGAATATCCTGAGTTTTCTAGTGATATTGTTATGAAAATAGTGTAAAATTATCAACATTAGCTCGTGTTCTTTAAGAAACACTTTAACGCACATACTTTGGATAGGCTTTTACAAGTAGAACAATGAAAGTTACCTTTGAAGTTAACTCCAATTGGTACACACCATCACAGATTACATCTTGAAGATTTTTCCTCATGCATTATCAACACTAAAAACATTTTCCAACTTCAGCTAAAAGTGATGTGTCAATTAGATATGTCTAAAAACAAAACAAATGTAATTAATGCATGTATAAAACGAAATCTTAGAGTAAAGTCTGATTTTCAACATGAATTGCTTCATCCATGAAGGCTGGTTTAAAGGTCAGTTAGACCATGGAGTGGAAGTTGACTTGGTGACTGTAGTCCAAATGCTTCACAAATATCAACTAAATTTTCAAGTCTTTAGTCTTTACTAGCTTACAATATTTTCCAATTTCAGCCATGCTACCACTCCCCCACCATTTTTATTTTGCTCAGCAAATCTTGTCAGTGGTGGCCCCTCTCCATCAGTATCCCATCCTTCTCCATCAGTACCCCATCTAAAGGTCTAAAACTAAATCTACCTAGATTAGATGAATGTCTTAATAACTATGCAAAGTCACTATGTATCTCAGTCTGACAACCATGCATAGAATAGCATTCATAGCTGCAATGACTCCCATATTACGAGTCAGAAAATCAGGGGCGGATCCAGGATTTTGTTCAGGGAGGGGTGCTGCGCACAATGTTAACCCAGGGAGGGGTGCAACCCTTAGAATCAAAGGCAAAAAACAAAATTGGTTATCTTCGAAGTAGGAGCACAAAGTCTAACCAGGGAGGGGTGTGCACCCCTCCCCTGGATCCGCCCCTGGAAAATAGAATCCTTGAATAAATAAACCAAGGGTACTCACCCATGCATCCTCATAGTTCTTTCTGGCCACACCTTTCAGGCCTTCTCATTTTAACTCTGCAAATAATCAGTCATCCTACCTTAGCTGGATAGATCAGAATTTTCATACCAAATGTTGGACAGTCTGCAGTGATGTACGTTTGACCTAAATCGGCGTTAACCATAACGATAAACAATCATCATCGGAAGTGCCTTTTTTTCCAGAAGTACATTGATTTTGCATGTACAAAACACATGTATAGTAATCATTCAATACAAAATTGAGCGTTTTTGAATTCTCACTATATTGACGCTTGGCGCGCATGTTCATCAGTTTCACCGCGTTACCTTTTTCCAATTTTTCCCCCTTCTATTTTCTCATCCTTTGATCAATGTTAAGAAAATTTATGTATAGTTTACAAAATATTAAAATATAGCAACAACAGTTTAAAGTGATTAGCTTTTATTTAATATGTTGTGAAAAGCTTTACAATAAAAGCGCTTTTAATAAAGAAAAATTATATATATATTTGCATAATATACGGCTATGTTTTCGTCACAAAAACGAAGCTGAACAGTGAACATTTTTTCATCTTTTTTCTTGAAAAATGTTCACTATACAACAATAATCCCCATTTAACCAACTAAAGCTAGTGATTACATATGAGTTAAACTATGTAGAATATCCGTAAAACTAACCCCTACTGAATGTTAACTAATATATACTACAAAATTTTTTCTGAACCCTTTTTAAAAACGGCACAAAAGCAGAACTTATTAAACAGGATTTCCAAAATTCTTGAAAAAAATTAAAAAGATTTGTTAGTCTATGTAGACGAAAGTGATATAATCTAAACTCCGATTAGCTGGTTGAACAACCAATTAGAAAAGCTCTGAACTGTGATTGGCTGGTTAGACAACTAATGAGTGTCATAATGTTCTGAATTCTGATTGGCTGACATAACAGATATCAAGTTTCTGTAATTCGAAAAATTCTTCAATCAAAATATAGCAAATGATTTAAAAACTCCTTTATGACAAGCGTATTCCAGGTAAAAATTGATTTTGTTTAAAAAAAGAGTTCTAAAAATCACGCCTCAAAACATATCAAAAGGCAGTGAAAAATCTCAAATGCGTGAAAAAGTTTACGTTGACAGATTTTCTCGTTACAAAAACAGCGTGTCAAATAAAGCATGCAAGTCCTTAAACTAGAAAATTGATATGAAAAACATTATTAGCATTTATAAGTAAAAGTTAGCAAAAAAAGTTTAAAATTATAACACAAAAGACTGTTTTAACTCAAATATCTAAGATTACTATACAAATATGAATTAAGACTATGATCAGAAGCTCATGAACTTCTGCTATGATATATACAAGTTTTAAGAAATGTTATCAAAAAGCTATGGCTAACTTATTATAGCACGGTGAAACAAGCTGCCATGTTGGAGGCTACAAGATCAATAAGTTTACATTAGAAACACCATGGCCAAGTGAATTAAAATATCGCTGTTTGTGCATATTCCTCCAACAAGGTTGCCTTCTTTCTGAGATATTTAAGTTCATGTTGGTATGCGCAGAAGATTTTAAAAGGTTTTTAAAAGGATTTTAAAGCCTTTGGTAAGTCTAAGAGATTACATTAACAGCTATAAATGTATACATAATTCAAAAAATGTACAAACTATGCATCATTTTTAAAAATGCCTTTTTCTCAGAATAAAAATGTTGGTCAAAACATGTTGTAAAAGTCAAGTACACAGTCGATATGCTAAACTTTTCCTGACGTATTTAACCCCTTAACACAATCTTACGTATAAATTTTTGTGCAATAACTTTAAAGAAACTTATTTAGTGCAAAGCAATTCGTTGATACAAAAAAACCATAGCCGAAACGGCGGGAAACGATCACTTGACCTGTTGTCCGATATCGTTCGCGGTCCCTTTAGGTTCCTAAATTGATGTGACGTAACAGCCCCCTTTAGTTTTTATGATCTATAATAATATTACATGACTTATTTACACAAAGCCAATACTCTGGCCTTCATCTACCATTTCGAAATCAGATCTTTCAATAATGCGAGGACCACTATTTTTAGCTAGACTTGAACATATCGCAGAGCATTCTCTCGATAGGCACATTATCCAGGGTGCCCCTGAAAAACAGGTCCTCTATCATCTTTGGTCCAACAGCTCTTAGAGAGGGGAGCATCAGAAGTAATTTGCCAAAGCGGACCTGCTGATCGGGATAGTGCGAGCGACAATATTCTCCCAACATCGACTGAGCTTGGTCTTGTAATCGTTCAACTAGGTGTGGAGCTCGAAGCCCTCGTAAATCTGTAGGAACATAACACAAAATTACATCAGACCTGAATAGGATAATTGATAATGTGTGTTGGGATACTTCAAGGCTCCATCTAGGTGCCATGGGTATTGTTTTTGTTAAAACAAATCCACATCAGACCTGAATAGGATAATGGGTGGCATGTTGGGATACCTCAAGGCTCCATCTAGGTGCCATGGGTATTGTACATCAGACCTGAATAGGATAATGGATGGTGTGTTGGGATACCTCAAGGCTACCTGGAATGACTTGTGTTTCATATTCTTATTCTTGTCAAGAGTATGGACCTTAGTGTTGAGACTGATTCGATGCCCTTTGTATTCAACGAAACCATTTCCATTTCGGAATGACCTATCGCCTATCGCCTTTGGCGATGACAACGTTTTTTGAATTAGGTGTATACAACAAAATTGCAGAAATAACAAAATTAGATTTTCGAATGGTTCATGAATTCACGAGCCAATTAGATATCAGATTTTTACAAGAAACCGGATCAAGGTCTCTTGGTTTATAAAAACTGTTGGTTTCAAGTGAGCAGCAAAACCCTAAAGATCTTCACCAGTTACACGTGGTCTGTTTTATCCTCTCAACACAACACATGACGTCGTTACCACACAGCACTGGTTAGCAACAGAGCGCAGAAGATTAAAGAAATTATAATCTTTTGGATATTTAACTTTATTAACTCGTAGCTTATAAAACTGAATTTATTTTTCAAGTAGGCCGATCTAATTTCTCTCTCTCTTTTTTTTTTTTTTTTTTTTTTTTTTTNNNTTTTTTTTTTTTTTTTTTTTTTTTTTGTTGTTGTTGTTGTTGAGGATTTACAGTTTTCGAGTCTTGCGTTCGTAAGCTAAGAGATCAAATGTTTAGTTTGTTTCTTGAAGAAACACAAATTTGTGATTCAATCTTAAAGGATCGTAGTTGAATTGTTTTTACTTTTGGTGTTTCAATCTTTTCTCTTCGTAGTGTCTGACTCCTCCCAGTGAGGTTCAAAACATGTTATTCAATGGCCATACTAGGAAAATCAGTTTCATTAGCAATAGCGAATAAATGTGGATCCAAATGCTTTTATCTATTCACAGAAGCGTTCACAAAAGATTCCATTGAGTCCCTTTAATGTTCGCTGCTCTTTTCACAGCCATTCATCCGAACACCACCAGTTAAGACTTATTACCCTAAGTCTGATCAACTGCACAAACAAAACTACGGCTTATTCAGAACATCCACGAGGCGTAATGGGACAATGGTACGGGTCACTCATTCTTGTAGTGCTCAAGCAGGTACCTTTGTTATGGGACCATGCTTTGCTGGTGCACAAAAAGCAGCTCAAAAGACCAAAAGCTAAAGACTTTTGCAGGTCGAAGTTTTCACAAAGCCGCCTACACATCAACTGTACAGGTAGTCACTTTAAGTAATGAGACACCTCAGAGACGTCGCCCTGAGAGACGTTTCCTTGATAGATTGGTACCTGATGATACTAGTTATTGCAAGACTAATGAAAAGCTTATTAATTTTTAATTATAAGAGAAACGTGTTTAATTGAACTAAAGTCGTTAAAAAATCTCCCAAAATTTTTGGAAAAATAAAACAAAGACGTGACGAATTGTTTTTGAAAGTGGAATACGATGCTTAGTAGTGTGCGTCTAGCTTGATAAGTGAACTGATAGCGAGTCAGTATTCTACTACTGACTAGATTATTGACTATACGATACAATTGTTGTTCGATCTTCTGGTTTTGGTTGGACGCTGAACCCGATATATCGATGAGAAAACTTGCCACCTCCAGTTTCCTTAAGTCCAAGGTCTTATCCAAAAACTTATAAATACGTTTTGAACTTATAAATACGTCTTGAACACTTGTTCAACGCTTTTAATCACCTGTAATATGACTTATTTGCTCTGCGCCGATGGTTTTTCGCTTTTTTTTTTAATGGTCAGGCCTGGTCAGGTTGTCAGACCCTCTAAACTAAAATCATTCCTTCCTTAGAAAGTTGACTTCTATTTACAGAGCTAACAAACTCCAAACATACATTAGTTTAAATCATTACTGCATTAATATACAAGATCACTAGTTTTTAGTTTCATTTGTCCAATTTTGATCGAACGTTTTTTGTTTTCCGTTTCGAGAGTCCCGCGGGTCTGAACGTGTTAGGGGTCAGGTTGGACTGTTGACACGAGCCCACAGACCAACAGGACGTGACACTGTTTATGAACGGTGTGAGAACGTTTGTGAAGACACAACAGCCGGAGATCGGTCGAGAAAGGTCAAAGTTCATTAGAAATGAGAAATACACTTGTATTTTTCGAGTCATTACCGCATTTTTTCAGGAGGGGAGTGCTAAGAGGGAGGAAGATCTGCATGATCTGTAACATTATTTTACTGCATAATAATTCTTAAATATATATTTCTTACCTGGTTTGAATAAAACGATGGCTTTCAGGCAAGCATATTCCGTAGAATCAATCTGCAATCTCTTGAATCGCGTCACAATGTTCTGAAGAAGTCGAATGTCGGACATTCCTGCTACGATTTTATCGGTCGGTGCTCTATCGACCTGCAGGCCGGCTGCAGACAGGAGAGGACCCATATCTAACGGCAGAGAGAATTGGGCTGAGCTTAAGACGAACAGCTCGCTCCAGCCTTCCTCTAACAGGATAGCTTGATCACGGAAGGGAAGATCAAGAAATGTAGGAATGTTTCTAGCCCACGTGACGGACATGTATAATAACTGCACAGCTGATTCGTAGATGTTTTCTGGCCTTCCTTGCGGCATGACTGGAATCTCGTAGTTCATCTGTGTTGCAGAGCTCCTAGGAGAGCTGCTCTGTTGCGTAGGAGTCGAGCGTTGGACTTCAGATGTACGATTCTTGTCTCCCTGTTCTTTGGAATCAAGAAGACTCGCGATAGACAAGAAACTGTGTTTTTTTGACGAGTCAGGCGATATGTTATTATTCTGTCCATGGTACTGAGAGGGGGACCCTGGGGGTGAATACGAGTTCGTATCAGACCGCGAAGGACTTCGGGTCGATTCAGTCGCTTCGGGCTCTCGTTCAGTTTTCGTTTGTGGACTTGCGGGACTTGTCATAGTTTGTGCGGGATGCGGGTTTCGCACGGGATCACAGAACGTATGGCTGACTATAGTTGTACTTGTGGTTGCACGTGGTAAAACTTGAGCAGAGCGAGGGGCCCTCTCGTGTTGTACAGCTGGAATAAAACCAATTAACCGTGTAAATGTGTGAGGAAGATTGCATATAATAAAGGGCTTTTGATAGAAAGTGCTCATTTCACCCGCGTTATGACTTAACCCTTATAAAATTCACAGCTATAGGTCCGCGATGGGGTTGACGAAATGGTGCCAAACCAATTGACATCATTTGCGCAATGTTTTCCAAGAGGTCTTTACAGTTTTTGGCTCCCAAACAGAGTAATTCATTAAACTTTTATGAACTTGCGATCTTAAAAAATCAAACTCGTAAAATAATTTCAAAATATTTCAGCCACCGTCCTTCCAGTAACCACCGTATTAAACTGATTTTGGGGCAAGTTTCGCAACTGTTTTAGTTAAAGCTGTTTTCAGTTTTCGCAGCTAGACGCGCAAAATTCCCCCACGTATGCTCTGTTCAGTGGACTGACTGACTAACTCACTCACTCAAATACAACGTATTCCTTCTCTTTGATGTCTAAGTTGTTAGCTAAGAAATGCATTCATTACAATCATGTAAGTGGCAGGCACCCTAACAATTCTTCAGTACATGTGGTGGATTAAAAACTAAGAATCGAATTTTTCTGGCGACAGATCAAATTAAAAGCGGCGAAAATGGAATTGCGACCAAAGCGCAGCGAAGAACGCTATCAATAATCAAGAGGACGTTAGTCATTCAGTACTCCAAGAGGTCTTGGCTTCATTTCAAGTTGATTTAAATAAAGTTCATCTTTTATTCTTGGGTGTTGGACTAAAATGAAAAATAAATTCACTATCGGTTTTCAGAAAACACAATTTCAATAAAAATCTTCTTTAACTTACTTTAGTATAAGTCGAAAAGTATTCCTAATATATAAGACTAAAACGCCCTAACATTTCCTTTTCAAAATTGAAGTATCTGGTACTTTATCGTTTTTGTCTTTCCTTTGAAAAACTAACTTAAATGCTTGAGCTCAAATCGTCAACTTAGGAAACTGAATCTCTCTAATGTTAAAAGTTTAAATCATAAAATCAAATTATCCTAAAGGTTTGCAGGCGATGGTTCGAAGGTTATTTGATTACAAACTTCAATTCAAAGTTGTTCAATTCTTTCGTATTTATTCTTAGTCGAGAAAGCTTTCTTCATTTTTTTCTCTCTCGAAGTTCATAGCATTATATACCATTGCTTGTGGTTGTCGTTTTTTCTTCTGTATTTTGAAATAAAAGAAGCTCATTAGCCGGTTTGTCCTTGCTCCATTTTCTACCTGTTTAGAGGTTTTTCACTTTCAATCTTTAGCCAATTGTGAATCAATAACTTCTGTTACCAAGGTTATAGATTTTGCCACCCGTAAAACAATTTACGTCCAAAAATACTCGAGCTAACTGAAAAAACGAATAAAAGTCAAGGCTGAACAAAGATTACATCGACAACCAAAAATAATCTCCAAAAATAATCAGATTTAGACCCCAATAAACAGCATTTTACATTAGACTTGTGAGAATTTGAAAAATTTGAAATTTCAATGTTATCTTCCAGGGGAGTCTAATTGCGGTTTTTTTTGTATTTGTGTTTTCTTAACTTCATTTGCATTCCACCTGTGTCTGCTCGCCACTGACTGGAGACAAGGACATTTTAAGAATAAGACCCTTTAATTCTCTTGTTATTCGTACCTCCGCAGTTATGACATAATTAAAGCCAGTGCTCATAACTACATTAGTTGTCTAGCTAACTTTTTCAACCGTTCCCAAACCCTGAAAAAAAGTTTGAATTTTTTACCGCAATTTTTATAAATGTAGTGCTTCAATATATTTTTCGATTCGCCAGAAAAAAATTTGGCTTACAGAAGCAAATTTCTCACAGCAAAAGTTTTCCAAAAAATTTTGTTAATTTGGTCTGTTTGGATCAAACACGATTTGAATGAATTTTATCAATATTTGATATTTGGAAACATTACGAAAACCACTCAAAATTCTTCCAAAATGAAATTCAAGCGTTTGGCCGTCACCTTAAAACCTCTAGTTCACCTCACAAAGTGTAATAATATATATAAAAAGGCTCCAGTAATTTTCCTTGGTAGTTTATTGTGCTAAGAAAAGAAGATTGTGCCAAGCTACATGCCCTGCCTCAGTTCAATACCGACTCATCAATAATGAATCAAGCACGTTTGGTGTGGCTCAATAAAGAAGATGCTAAAACAGCAGATGTGATCACATTTTTTGTTCTTTCCCTTTGAAAAGATCCCTTAATTATCACTTTACAGGAATTAGAGTGCTCGGTGACGCAAACACTTCAGAAAAATAAGTCAAGAAACAAGTTTACCTCTAGTTACGTTTGCGAATTAGAAATGCGTTTCCAGCCTTTGCTGTCATTACTAATAAACCTTGCTTGATCGGAGAAAGATTCGCTAGCATATATTTTCCTAGAAAACTTTGATATTCGTCTCAGTAAAGAACCCATGTTTTATATCTTTTGGTTCAAGTAGTCTTCGTGTTACTTTTTTAACTGGAAATCAGGATTGAAAGTTAGCAAAAAATATCGAGACAATATACTAACATTTCGTGGATAAAAATTGCGGCAATTAAGTAACGAACTTATATAATCCCAAAATTTCACGATGGAAAAAATTTATTTTAAAATATCCGCGCAAATTTTTTGTTCGAAGGTCTAAAGAGAAATATGATACAAGAGAAAGAGGGAGGGAAATTTATTTTAAAAATAAGATCTTCTTAGACTGATTCAGGTGTCGCAAGGCTGCACGCTTGAGTTGTCCAAATGGTAAACTTTCTCTGCACCGCCTCACCCTAGATTTTGCACGCATCAGAGGACTTACGAGTTTGCCAGGAAAATTTCCTAAAACTACAAGTGAAATGAGGTAAAATTCTCAGATTTCGTCGCTCCTTACTTACCGTCTCGGTTCATCTTGACGTTAAAGCACTTCTGAAGTCGACAAGCTTGGCACTGATTTCGCCTTGCAACATCAACAACACAGTTTCCTTGCTCTTTGCACTGATACGTTAGGCTTCTTCTTATACTCCTCTTGAAGAAACCCCGACATCCATCGCATGTAAAGACACCGTAATGCTTCCCCGACGATCTGTCTCCACAAACTTTACAAGGAATGAGTGGCTTGCGGTCTGTTGGGGAAGGACGAAGAACAACGATGTCTTAAGATGACTTTTCATTTCTTTTCAAGGAACTCGTTAACCAATAAAACGCGAAGAAATTATCTTAATACGATCTAAATTCAAATTATTGGGTAACTCTTTTCAAAGTAATGATCCATTGGTATTTTCCTAATGATGTCCAATGGAAAAACTAAGCTTTTGTGACTTTTTGGCAACAGCGATTAGCGCAAAAATCACGGCCAAGCTTTCTGCTCGTAAAGGTCGTAAACACATTCATCAAAGAACAGGAGACCAAACGAACATCGATCGCAAAACCCGTGATATGCCTTGAAAACCATTTGAGTTGAGAGAAAATGCTTTTCAACGTCATTGTAATGGTTTTTGTAAGGTTTTTAATTGTGCCAGGGTTATTGTCATTGCATTGCACAATTGAGGCGTCATCTTTTTTCTTCGCGTCAAGAAAACGCCTAATTTTTGTCAGTTATGATGAGAATCTCGTTTTCTTGAGTTTTTAAAACTTTAAAGCATTTTTCTTTATAAAGTAAATCAACAGATGATGTTTGTGTTCTTTTTGGTGCAAAAATGCAGGTTTTTTGAGCTCACGTGCATTCGATACAAAAGCATTTCAATTAAGCCAAATGTTTTTTGACTCACCGACCACCACTGATTGTTCAGGCTGCATTGCCAAACTCCCTTCCATAGCAAAAAAACGAGCAATAATTTCTTTTCCTTGGTCTCTTTATCCTGCAAACTATTTCTTGTACCTTGCCTGCTTTTTCGACTACTGTTTTTCCCCGGCCGTCAGGTCTAGTGGCATTAACCCGTCATATCAATCTAATTAAGCTTACGCTGGGTGTACCAAGCTGATGTCCTGAATCCAGCAGGTAGACAGGTAACCACGAACAATCATTGGCTGGTTTATTTTTGAAGGTGACATTGTTGTTGTGTGATTGGCTTAACCATGATCTTCATAGCAGTGAAATGCTTGCCCAATATATCAGTTCTTGAGACTTAGTGATTAGACCGAAGCCATTTGTTAAGTCCATTCTAAAACATCGAAAACTCTACAGCATAACTCCTTCAGGTTATAAAAGAATTTATAATTTAAAAAAACAAACAGTTTGGTAATCTTATTTTCGATGACTGAATATTTAAATCTAGTATGTCAGAACAAGGCGTATGCCTTGACTAAAAACCTAAAAATATACTGACAACATCTTAACTTTCTGAGCTGAAGACCAAAAGTCTAGAAGGCAAAAGATTCACTACCTTTAAATCTTAGATTTTCATTTGCCTGAGTTTTATTGAAAATAATTTATAAACTTGAAAATTATTTTCCTTTTTTGTACAGATAAACTGTAAGCCTCGAAAAAAAATTCGAGCAAATTTAAAAAGCTTGAAGTCCATTCGTAATGATTGGATAAACTGGCATGCTTTCATTATTTGACTTTGCAAACAAACTTGTATTATTTGTTTAATATAATCTTTTACAGGCCTTTTTTTGTACAAATTCAGTTCTCTTTTAAAAGAAAATTTTAAGCACAGTCGAGAAAAATGCATTAAAACAGTTAAATAATTAGTATTGATGTTTTGGCGGGAAAAAGGCTGACGCGTTTGGTAAATTCCACATGCAGACTCACGTGACTCTCGACCGAGTCGCTTGATGCACCTGCCTTACCGCGAAATGCGCATGCGTAAAACTTGTCAAACTTAAAGTAGCAGTTGCCAGCAAGTTCAATTACTTTGCCACAGAATATAATTTTTATCGTAAGATAAACCTTCAAACTGATTGATGTTGGCAGGAATAAGGATAAATCCTCGTGTAAAGAAGAGAAACAATAGCTCGAATACCGGTAGTGGTGAGTTCTCGTACGACAGTCGCTGCTGGAGATCAATACTCAAGTCATGTGACAATCAAACGATGTGGGGGTTAAAACACCACTGAAACATCAATATTAAACCACAAAAAAATCGTTAAACTTGGATGAAATTCAAACGACGTGATATCGAGCTCGTTAATTGGATCCTTTTTCATGGGAAAACTGCATGGATAGTTATGTAACCGAATCAATAGTTGGTTTGGCTTCTCTTTATCCATTTTTATCCCATTATTTGGAAGTTATAAAAGTTAAGATACGCTTAATCGATTCTTCAAAGAACGTAAATGTTGGGATTATAATGAATTTTCGATTGTGTTGCGAAGAGCATATTGGCGCTGGAAAAAGAAATATCGTGACATGAATGCAGAAACTTAACTAGAAGAGAGCTACGACAAATGCAGTACAGTCATATTATGGCAACTTGTCGATAGAAGTCTCCATGTAAAAAAAAGTAGTCTCCATGTTGGAGGTATTTATATAAGAATCCTAAATGCGCGCGCTGATTAGCTTCGCGATTCGTGCGATATCTATATTTTACTACAGAACCGCTGGAATTCAGTGTTTGTTGGTAAAATGTAACATGGCCACCATGCTATTGTTTTCTTCCTAGATTTATGAAAACATTGAAGTAACATATTGACATAAATAAGTCAAGACTATCTTCAAGCGCAGCCGTGCAAGACAAATCAACTTTTGTCCTCTCAATGTCATTGTCTGTAAATACTAAAATTTATTTTATTTAACCTTACATTTTCTTATTGTTTGCTCCAAGAGCCATAACGGCTCATCTAGGGAGATCACAATGATAATTATATTTTACAATGATTTCTACGGAGTACAAAATAGAAAGAAAACAGGTATACTAAATAGGTATCGTATTATTCCTTTACCTTGGGCGTAATGTTTTTACGATTCAGACCACGTGTCATTCTCTTGAGAATAAAATTCTTTAGTTTTAGTTGAATCCATATTCATGCGTCTTTTCATGCGCAACCTTTAAACAAAGAAATAATACCCTAGGGAATGACACATGGTCTGAGATGGGACAACGTTACGTTTATTTTACAAAGTCAGTCGGAACTTTCAAAAAATATAAGGTGTTTTACTTGAATGGCGTTGTTTAATGATCATTAGTAACATCACTTCCAAATTGACGTTTAGTACGTCTGGAAGCGATTTCGTAGGTTCCTGACTTATAGCACGTACACAGTACGACATGCCGTAACATTGAAACATTAAGATGGCTTAACCATAAGTCAGAATGATTTTCGTATGAGTGGGAAACTTACGGTACAGACTTACAGCACATACAGGATACGGCATGCCGTAACATTGAAATGGCTTCCCACCACTGTCTGTCAATATAGTTCATCCAATCACAACGCGCGGTTACAGCTGCGCCATATCGTTTCCCACTCTTACGAAAACTGTAAAATAAAACGTTTTTTGCTAATGTATAATCAATTTAATAAAATTCCCAGTCAGGCCCATGCCGGGAATTACTTGCAAGTATACTAGTGACAAGCTAACGAACGTTGCTTGCTGACTAAACGGCAAAAGGTGTAAAAACAAATTGCAAAGACCAATATTTTCTTTCCATTCAAAACCAGGAGTTCCTTGTTTTTCCTCGATTCAATAACGCAGAACTGTATAGCAAAACTGTCTGTCTGTCTGTCATTGCCTTCTAGTGGAGCTTCCAGCAGTTTTGCAGCTGCTCTTTTCTCACAAAGCTACCATTTGCTGTCCTCTTCATTGATCCTCTTATCTCTTCGAATCTTTTCCCTCAGTTCATTCACCAGCATTCGTTCTCTATGAAGCTGTTTTGCTTTGTTCTCCTCGCTGATGTTAGAAGCTTTGAACGACGCATCTCTCGAAAGGCTTATTCGTTTGTTTGGATGCAACTCGTTAACATCATCATCGTCGTCATAGTGTTCATACTCGTATCCATGGAAACCTAATTCTTCAAATGAAACCCTCGGAGGTTCTGTGACGTTTTGCTGTGGTATGAAGTCTCCACTGCTCCTTGGAGTGTCTGTCATGCGCACCTCCACAGCACGTGGTATCCGCATGTTGTTCACGAAGGTTGAAGGGAAAAGCTGTTCAGTTATGAGTCGTTTGGTGTGCAGATCGTTGATGTATCCCTGAGGATAGTTATCAAATGTGGCGACAGACATTCGTCTCTCGTCATCTTCACTGCTTCTGAAACATTGAGACATTTTATCTTTATATACACTCGATTGAAGAATCGTTGTCGGGTTCAGAAACATAGAACATAAAAGCTGAGACCGAAATGGCACATGGAACATAACATAACATATTTATTTGCGCCATCCATGCAGTCGGTTTAGAACGCCAAACGCGTATTAAAAACAGTGGATGATGCCACGGGTCGCCGGTCACAGCATGCATCTAATTAACGTACTTCCCATGTGCCATTTCGGTCTCAGCTTCTAAGTTCTATGTTTCTGAACCCGACGATTCTCCAATTGAGTGTATAATAGCGACACACAAGCTATAGACAATGTGGCTATAGACCTTGCTGCACTTTGGAATGCAGCTCAATCTGGGGGATAAAACAATAAGTTCCAATTCTCAGGAGTTTGGAATTCTTTTGTTTTGTCCCCCAGGTCGACCTGCTTTGACGTCACATGCAAGGGGTCTATTATTGGAAAAGCAGTCGACTGTCTGATGAACAGACTATTTATTTACCTGTCATTAGGTGGTGCAGTTTTTCTTGCGTGGCAGGCGTAAACGATCAAAATAATCATGGCAATGACAAGAACACCAACAGCTGCCCAGACAATGACGACCCATAAGGGCATTCCCAAACCTACCAACAACAAAAATAATAACATTAATATACATTACTGTTCAGACACACTTATCGGAACCATTGAAGAAAATTAACCAATCACGTCAAGGAATCAAACAAGAAAAAACCTTACGAGAAAAATTTTGATTTAAACGACTGTTGGAATGAAAATGAATGAAAGATTGTTATTGGCTGAGGTCAATATGACAGATTGTGCTCCGTCTCTCCTGATTGGCTTTCTCAAGCGATCCCAGTTAATGTGTCCGCACATGCAGTTAAAACATACATGCTGTTCTCAGCTTTGTAGCTTTTCAGGTGGCTAACTTTATTAAAATAAGTACGTCCCAATGGAAAGTAGGATCTAGAGATATCGAAACTATCAAAAAACGTAGTCTCTTTTCAGCTTACTTGCTTACCCATGTCATAGAAAGGTGCTTCGGTGGTAGCCGAGTTGTTAGACATTGGCGACGTACGATTAGGAGGAAGATAAAAAATCAAGTCTAAAATAAGCAAACCTAGAATGAGAAAGAACCGTGTGGTCATGTATAGAAACGTTAGTAGATATTCATAAGATCGAGTTTAGGTTTAAATTTATTTAGATCAAGCTACAAGACATTATCCATAAATATACAAATAAATAATAATAGAATGGTTTAAAAAAAATAGTTTGAGTGTCCGCACAGTAGCTTTTAAAAAAATAATAATAATAATAATAATAATAGGAAAAGACTCAATTGCATGGGAGCGGATTTCAGGCTGAAATTAAAGGAATATTTTTGATTCTTTACTTTCATGGTGTTCCCTTCTGTAAAGTAGGTTTGGAAGAACATAGACATGTAGAAATTAGGATCCGAAAAAGGAAACGAAAAAAAAGTTTTGATTTCTTACTTTAATGAAGTGATTTCGCTTTCTGTGCAGCAGTTTTAGATGATAGTACCGACTATCATCCACCACTCAGCAAAAAGAGCTGCTTAGCTCGACCGCTCTCTTACCTTATTGCTGTTTTATCAAGGGAAAATATATCCCATGTCTCTATTGGTTCAAAACGTTGGAAATGACATCTACAGATTATCGTTATATGACGACATGACGACATATCAATATACTCTACTGGCAGGCTGTCAGAAACAAATTCCGCAAACTAGCTCAAAAGTAGTATCAAGTTATCTGTGGAAGCTATTTGAGAGCACATTAATCACAGATGCCTGATCAGTTTGGATCATCCTAGATAATATGGGCTGAGGACTTTATAACTTTTAAGTTGGAGCGAATTAGATATAGGTGATACGTCACAGCGTAATTTTGATATTCAGTAGGAACAGCACTCTCTATTCTGGCGTGTGTCTGGAAATTTCTTTTTAAAAAAACAATTCGGAAAAAGGGTCCTAAACTACAGGGGGTCCCAATGTCTAGCCTTGGGGGAATTGTTTGTTGACTCTGAGTTATATTTCTTATTCCCAGGATTAAAGACTTCGAAAGAGAAACGTGTACATAAAGGAATCGGAATTAACAGAGAAAAAGCGAAATTCGCTCGAGAAAAAGTAAAAATGAGCACGAAGACATAAAAGAAACAAAAACACTAAGCGGCAATTTTTGCAAAAAATAATAGGATAAACAAATAGTAGACAAAAGCAATATGAATGGGAAAAAATGAAAGAAAACGAGAATAAACAAACAGACAGACAGGGATTAATACAGAAAGAAAGATAAAAAGAAAGAGAAGAAAAAATAAGACAGAGAAAAAACAGGTGTACTTAAAAAACAAGGCCGTCATAAGCAACTAGGACACGGACGATATTTGCTTCATCCATTCCGTGATCCTAGCCTTGCCAGCCGGCGTATCATTTCCATGGATCTAATCGTTTGTGCATATCAGCTTTGTTAAATGGGGTATATTTTACATACTAAGCCAAGGTATAGGAAAGACATAATTTTAGTCACGGGTCAAAGACACATAAATCCTCTACAAACGATTTGTACCAAGTTATACTCGCTGTTGCCTAGGGGAACAAACCTGAAGCAATTTATAATTTTCTTCTGCCATAGATAGACACCTTGGTGTTTTTCTCATACCTTATCTCTCACTCTCAGAATCAATTCATGGGTGGTGAAAGATATCTCAAATGCCAATTAAAAATATTTGTTCGCCAGCCTTCATTTATTATTTGAAGCGAAAGATTGACAAAATATTTATACCCGATCTGATATCGTTTTTCCCCAAGCTGCCTGGAACTATTAATCGCGCTGGTACTTGAGATACTAATTAACATCAAGTATAAGCTATTGTTTTGTTTATATTTTTTCGTTTATCCATGAATTATTAACGCATTTCCATCTTAGAAACAACAGCGGAAAACGAAGACGCCAATGATGGCGTGTTTGCCCTTCTTTATAAACTATCATCTATTCGATTATATTTCACTGAGACACTCTCACCAATCAATTCTGAAATTTCCCTAATTTTGTTAGACACCGAAAAAAATTATTCGTTTTGACTTTTACGATCATAATTTGTGTTTTAAAACGACAAACTATGAATTTCTAATTACAGCAAGAGCTCCTACATTTCGTTTTACCATTTTTAAATCCCGGAAACATATTTTCTACCCAATCTAGGAAAATCAAAATGGATTTCGATGTTGAATGTCACTTATGGATGAAGAACGAAACGTTTGCTTTCCTTAATGGAAAAGTAAATTATTCGTTGTTATTACATGCAATCTTGACAGAAATGTTTTTCTAATTGGTCAGCATTTAATTCTTAGACCTGTAGTCTGGCTTGAAACAAGTTTTCTCTTGAAAGTACTGTGTTGTGTTTTAATTTGCTCGTCAAAACAAGGTTCGCAAAAATATAATTTTTTAAATAGGAATATGCAATAAAATCGTACAAAGAAAATAATATAATACAAAGAAATATTTAATTCTATTGATAAAAAGATCTCGAAATAAAAAGAAAAGTAAATAAAGAAATAATATCTAAATAAATAAATAAATACAATAGAATAAATCATTTAAAGGATTACGCTGTAGGAGTAATTCAGACTTACCTTACTCATAAGAAAGTTTCACATTTCATTCAGGCTTTTGACGTCCATTTTTCAATCTCTTCTCTGTTGTTCAGTTGTGAGAGGTTACCAGTAAACAACATCAGACAAGAACTTCATGTTCCTTGGACGAAAGTTTTGCTATTTGAGGCAATTAACTCGTATATGACCTACTACTATTTCAAGAGTGTATAAATAATATTTTCACCTACGGGAGCAGCTTTCTAGATCAGTTATTTTTCAGCGGCTCTCAGAAGACACTTCCATCGCCCGTTTAGTTTAAGTGATTATTTCGACAAATGTACCTTAGATATCCACAGAAACTAAGCCAATCAAACTCAAACCGAATTACTGGGATGGCAATAATTTCTCCTTAGCATTTTGTTGTAAAGCCCTTTCTTTTTCTCGACTGAACCGGAAACAAACACAGCTCTTATTCTTTTTTTTCTTTTTTGGCAGGTGCAGAGAAAGCAGCTTACGTCACCTGAGACGAACAAACCAAGTCGAGGCTGTGGTAGATGGAGGGTTGGGACGAGTAGTACAACCATTAGTCATTTTATAAGGCAAAAAATCGCCCAAATCCGACACCATAGCTAACATTAAATCATTTATTCGGAACTGATAATTTCAAATAAAATAGTTCACCCACGTTCAGAAGAATTTTGGAAGTATTAAGGATATTGGCGTACGACTGGGTCACACTAAAATGTTAAGCTAGTTTTGATATATGTATGTATATAAATATATATTTCATTAATCAGTAGTGAAAACGGTGGAATACGGCTGTTGGATGGATATTTGAAGCACTTGAGGAAGTTCGAAAAGAATGACGGGAAGTCATTTTTTAGTGATCTTTCCAATAACCTTTGCGAATACGCGAAAGGCTTCACGCATGCGTGGTAGTTAATTTCTTTTTTAGATTGATTGATACGGGATAAGTACCTCTTTCCTGTCTACGCCAGGATTGAAGTACTTAATCGTTCTTGAACTAAAAACGTAGTTTTTTCTTTACATAGAAGGAAAAATAAAATAAAAATATATAAAACAGAAAGAAAATGCGAGAATTACATATAATTAGCAAATGTGTCCAAAAATGTGCTGAAGTATTTTATATCCAGGAATAGTGTTTTTTAATTTTTTAAATTGCTGGTTAAGTCATTCCCAAGAGAATGAAATAACAACAGGCACGGCAGCCATGTTGGATGATATAACACAAGAGACTAATGACGAATCTTTAGTTAAATTCATCCAACATGGCGGCTGTGAAAACCATCAATTGCAACATGCAAGATGTACTTCTTCTCAAGTCATTTTTCCATGATATTTCATCGTTTTCTTTTTCAGAGTGTAAGTCCATCATGCCACCACAGTGAGGCAAGACATTGTTTTGATCCTGAAACCAGTGTAGCAGAAAGCATCAAAGGAATCCAATTCTCTCGAGCTCCCGGCTACGGAAGATTGAAGATGTCACGAAAACCCGCCTTCGTGAATGCTCGACTGCACATTCGTGATATGAATAAAATAGGTTTACAAAGTCCGCATTGGTTTTCGCTTCTTCTCGAAGTTTTCTTGTTTGAGTACAGCATCTTCTCTAGAGAGAACTGAGCAGTTTACTCACTGGTAAAAACCTGAAATATTTTCAGTGTTTCTTTTGTCTTGAATAACCTGCTGTGGCTTGTTCTCAACAGTACAAAATTAGGTCATCCGTCATTCAAGAAAAACAGCTCGCTTCATTCAGTCTTCCTTGAAACTGTCCTCTTGTGACAAAAACTGAAGGTAAGATGTTTTACGATCACGCAACGTACGCTGCAAAATACATTTTGAGCCTTTGCTCTTATTGAAGTAATGATCTGGAATGAAGCTTGTTTCAATAAATTCTACCTGTAGGTTTATCATATTTACTTAGAATTAACGATATTCAATCATCCAATTCGATATTGTGTCGTAATATTAAGCTAAACTCCTGGAGTTTTATTTCTTGAATAATATAAGCATCCAGTCTTGTCAATTCAATTTAATAACTCAGTCAAAAAATCACTATTTGCAATCGTTGTTTCCGCTTCAGTTTAAGTTCAAAGCCTGTGCATTAAGTTTCTAAACTAAAAATCAGCTGACTAAATTTTGTCCTTCAGAGAATAACGATAGAAAGCTCTTAGAATGATTTTAATACACCTGTGAAATACATTTTAGCATATTTAGTACTATTACACTCTAACTCCTTTGTTTTCTATTATTTGAATCTAGCTATTACCATCTAATAAGTAACTATTGTTTCACTGGTTGATGAAAACCACTATCTTGGTACGTCGTCTAACCGACCAAATAAACTCCAAAGGCGGATAGCCAGTGCTACTAGTAACTATTAATGAATGATTCGTGTTAAATTGATGAACCCGCAGACCGAGTTCAGTTTCAAACCAGTATCAAAATGAATGTGTAGTAAACAAGAGTTACAGTTTACTCGTAACATAAAGATGATAACAAGAATCGATAGATAATTTTCAGTTTAGAGTGCTCACACTAAATCCGTGAAACAAATACTAATTTTTAACACTAAATAGTGATAATTAAACAATAGGAAACAAAGGATTCTGTATGAAATAGTACTAATTAGTACTATTTAATGTTCACGGTTTTAGTGCGTGCACTCTATTTTAGCTGTGAAGATATTTTTAGTGTGAGGAATGTAAAACTTTATAATTTTTTTTATGGTCTTTCAGTCGTTGCACACTAAAATTGACGAGGGAAATAAAATGATGTATTGCAATGCATCACTAGCTTGCAAATTGACTATAGACTTGACAACACTAAAACTATTGCATAATTAAATATTGTATGATACAAAATTGAAAATACTTACATATTCAACATGTTCAATGATATTCCTTTGTCTTCCATTTTTTTCTGAATGCTCAGATTAGTCTACTTCACTCATTTTCTTGGACAATGGGAACTTTTACTTGAGTTTAAAAGACATTTTGGAGACCTGAATCAAAGAGAAGTGACTGTTCATATCGAGGTGTGAAGAGTGAACGTCGAAAACTAAAACTGTTGCATTGTTTCCTGCAATCACTGGGGGTATTGATTGCCATACGATCGAGTTTGATGCCTTAAGCTAGATAATTAAAGAAAGGAAGGAAGGAAGAAAGAAAGAGAGAAAAAAAGAAAGAAAGGAAGGAAGAATGAATGAATGAGAAGAAGTAAGCAAGCAAGCAAGCAAGCAAGCAAGCAAGAAAGAATGAATGAATGAAACACGATGAAGATTAACTCAGTTGTTAATAGTATTCTCTTATAGTATTCTCTTGTACCGAATTCAATACAATGTCTGAAGAGTTACGAATGTCACATAGCTTATTTTTTTTTCTTTTCCAGGCACAATGGCAGCTTTTGATGGTAAGTAGTACACCTATTTGTCATTCTCATTACAAGTGACACTTTATTATCCATACTTGTAGGGAGACCAGGGGAGGTACTAGTATCGAAAGAAAAAAAAAAACAAGAGCAAATAGCAAATAAATTTTCCAACATTGTTGCGTTGCAGATTTCAGAGCGATCTGTGCTTGTATAGAGGTTTTGCACCATCACGTGCCCATGCCCATAACACAGCTTGGGCTGCCTGTGATTAGATGGCAAAACAATTAAATCCCTTTGCTCTAGAAAATTGAATTCTTTCTTATGTAAAACGATTGTATTGTTCCTGCCATCCAACATGGCTGCCGTCACGTGATGGCGCACGCGGTATTTTGTTGCACAAAAGAAGCTCGAGTCGTAATACGCGTAACGCATACGCTCAGCAATGTATAAGAATGATGGGCGACAAATACTATGTCATCTTATCGTATATCACCGCAGCTCAAAACCTTCCGCGACCCTTTAATTTTGAAATGGTGGCAAAAACTGCGCATTGATTGCTGCTTATCAGTTGTTTATTATATATACACAGTATATATGTTCTCATAAAGTTGCATTGTCCTTCTCAGAGTCGGTCGATATTCTGGCGATTGCGTTTGTTGTGCTTGCTGTCTTGATTCTGTTAGTCGCAGTTCTTGCGGCGTATGTTCTCTTACGTCGCGCCAAGAAAAAGTCAATAGGGTAAGGCAACTTAAATATTCACCATTTTCCATACATCGGTTCACTGGGTCAAACACAAAGCGCTCTGAAAGCGAGTTGCCAAGGTACTTTCAAAGGATTATTCAAATTTGAACCTTGCAACCTCGACTGAATGCTTTGTGTTTGACCAGTGAACCGATGTATGGAAATGGTGAATACAAAAATCAAGATAACTCTCTGCAGACACCATAAATATACAAAAACTAAAATACCTATCTGCAATTATCCTGAAGAAAATATAATCAAGGATACACTCATTCTTAGTCCATCGATAAAAATGTTAATGGTTTCTCTAAGTTACGCAAGAATAATTGCTGCTATATTGTGTGTTACGTTCTATCGAGTTAATATGCAGCAATTTTCGAATTTCCTTCTCATAGAACTGGCAGCTCGTACAAGCTTGATCACATGTACGACGGTGATTACGAGGCATCGATGTATGGCAGCAATCCCAAAATCATTGTCACCAAGTCGATAGCACAATCTGATAATGAAAATGTTTACCAAGTTGAGGTATGATGCTTGTATTAACTGACCTAGGTCTTCGTTCAGCATTCTCACCTTAATGTGTCCATTACGTCAGCAGCGTCAAGTGTTTCTATTTCTAGGGTTAATAAATATGTATACGAGAACCTAAAAATGAAATCAAGACGAGATGAGTGCGTAGTACTAGTAGAGGACGTTAATGCTAATGCGCATTACTTTTAAGATTTCTATTCAATGTTCTCTCGGTCATATCGGGTCAGTAATGTCCCGGGTACGAGCCTGAAGCACACGATCATTGTTAGCTTGTGCGCAAACATTCCCAGGTTTTTTGAACTCGAAGGGAAGATAAACAACGATTTTATCATGGATAGATTTTTGGTACTGTATTGGGAATTAAAATTTTCGTCATCCTTCGTCTCTTATTCAGTCCCACAATCCAATGCGCCACAAGGTCGTTACCAGTCTTCCCTCGAACTCTGAAAAGAGTAGAATGAAAAACGACGTGACGCCGGGTGTGTCGTGACACGTAAAGCAGACTAGCAAGTGGAAGAAATGGTTTTATAAAATGTCCTTTTGCCAACAACTTGTTAAAATAGTGTCGTTTTGTTTCTTAGACAAACGGGCAGAGCAGAGAAGTCATCTCCTCGTACCAGAACGCGGCGTACGAAAGACCTCTCTGATCCAGCTGTTCACTTTACCGCACCGACTAAGAGTATGTTGGTAAACTCAGTAATGATGTTGATGATGATGTTGATGTTGAGAATGCTGTAGGATAAGGTTGTCATGGCAATCATTCCTAAGAAAACAAAAGTGACATCCAGTCTCTCATTTGTCTGCATGTTGGGTGGCCATGTTAGGTGTCTTCCAACATGGCCGCCTTTTTTATATAGTTTTTTATTCTGCAGATCAACAATAACCAAAACCATTGTTAATATGTTTTTTTTCCACAGAGATCATGGATCGACTTATTTCAACTCAACGCAACACGTTCACAATAATCAATTATTATAAATGTTTGCACTTTCATTGCTAAATAACGCTTTATCAAAATATTGGTTCCAAAATAACAATTTAAGATATAGATATAGATTCTGATATAAATGATAAATAATACTGGGCTCATGAAATTCCATATTAAAGTGGCTAAATAAAACAAGTGGTTATTTTTGTACTTTTTCCTTTTCTTTATCGAACATTATATTTTCCCTTATTAGTCGTTCTGAAGTTGAGGAAAAAACTGGGGTTACAGTGCATTGTGGGCCTGAACTTTAGGGGACGTAATAGACGCCATCTTGGAAATGTCCCAGAAAACAGTCCCATAATGCAATGCAATGCCAACTCGACCCAGTTTTTTCCTCAACCTAGAAACGGTTAATAGGGGATTCAAGAAACTTATTCCTCAGTAGTTCCCTTCACAGTTCCCTGCGCCATCTTGAAAGGTAGCCGTGCCTTTGCATCAAAGGAGACGAACGGTGAGCTTGCAATGATAGACACCTTTTTAACATCTTGAACAATTACAATCATTATTGTTATTAGTAATATGATTTATAAATGTTGTAAAGCGCTGTTGATCAGCCTATGTAAATAGCGCTCTAGAAGTATTTAAATTATTATTATTATTCACAGGTCTCTATCATTCCGAGCTCACCGTTCGTCCCGCTTCGATGCAAAGGCACGGCTACCTTTCAAGATGGCGCAGGGAACTGTGAATAGGACTATTGCACGTTAATTTGCGCCATCGCGGCCATGTTGGTGCCATTTAACAAAAACATTTCTCATCAAAAATTCAATGTTAATCGCGGCAAGAAGTGCGCGATCTTTTATCTCTTGACTTTCTTGGGAATTCTTTCAACCGATCAATATTTCAAGACTTCTAGGTTTTTGGCGTTGATCATTCAAATTTCCAACGGCCCTGAGTTATGTTCTTTGATTAAGGAAAACTAAAAACGCAACTGTTTTGGACTGTTATAAAATGGCTGTAATATTTTACATGTTTTCATGCAAAAGTATATATTTCGCCGGACTCCGCCATCTTTCTTGAATAATGACACACGGTGAGCAATGATTCCGGCAAATAATGAAGAAACAAAATTCACAATTCTCGAATCTTAACAGTAATTTTACGAATGTACAAGGGAACAGGTATTCAATTGCGCAAGCTAACTTTCAAAGCTTGGTTTTGGTACGTTATTTCAGGATATTAAGCTTTTCTCTGCTTTTACATTCCAATCTCCAGCACCTAAGCCGCTCCAATGAAAATAAAAATAACAATGAATGGATTCCATCAACCCATACCCTACCCCCCTGAGGTGCGCTAGAAGTGAACAAATGCTTCTGAATCCACTGGGATTTGTGAAACAAGCTGACAAAATAACAATGAATGGTTCCATCAACCCATACCCTACCCCCCTGAGGTGCGCTAGAAGAGAACAAATACTTCTGAATCCACTGGGATTTGTGAAACATGCTGGCAAAACCCGAATAAAGTGATACTCAGTATAACAGAGGTCCTGACTTGTAACTCAAACGAACAATATAGACTCCTGCAAGTCTACTTGATTGAGAGGTAAATAACTAATGATGTTTGAAAACTAATGACGTAAATAGCATACTATTCAGGTAGGAGTCAAGAATGCGTAGCCGAGAAGGCTTCTCAGTTGGAAATATAACTTACAACATTCAACACGTTTAATCCGAAGTCATTTATCATAAGTAGAGTGTTCATCAACAAGTTTGCATTAAGTATTATCTCACTACAAAAATCTACGCTACTTTTCAGTAAAAAAGAGTTGATTTAGTGTGTTGAGGACACCTCAAAGGCTTCTTTAAGATGATGAAAGAAAAGTTATCCCTGTTAATCGCGCTGCTGCTGGCGATGACGTCGGTCGTCTCTGCTGGTAAGTTTAGATTCTAAGTTTACACTATTCGTATATTTTCAGTAGTTTCCAACAATGTATCGATCGACCAAAAGTTGAATTGCACAATATCTTTAGTAGCCAACGAAAAATAGCCATAAAAATATTAAAAGAATTCAAAAGGAAAAACAAAACAAAAAAAAAGCGTAATTAGCGATAAAAAATAATGGAAGCACCGAAACACAAATATATAACATTCTTGTGGATTTTTAATATTTTAAAATTGACCAAAAAAGACGGTTTTAAAACGATGATTTTATAAGGTTTCTGTTATGAAGTTGGATTATTTAAGATAATATATATATATCGTCATTTTGAAATGCTATCCGAATAACGGAGGAGTTAGCCAAGCGTTAATTATTGTTCATCACAAACCAAATTTCCTTAAAATTATCAAAGACTTTTGGGATTAACTAGTTCGGATTTTATTAAGAATTCTTTTTCATTTTGTTGGCTCTATAAAGAAAAATGATGTGAAACATTTAATGAGATTGTTTTATGGAATTTTGAAAATAAAAATAATCATAGACACATCAACTTTTTGAATTTGGAATTCAAGTAGTGTTCCCTGAGGACATAGATGACAGTTATGACAATGACAATATACGTTTATTTGAAGGTAATTGCATCTTCACAAATCGATTGACATTGAATTACACCGAAACTTTCATGATTACTTTAAATTCTATTAAACATCATCAACATTATTACTGCTTAATAATTAACTATTTAACTTTTTTTTTTTGTTAAGTGAAAATTTAAGATGAATCTGTAAATCATTAATGAAAAATTTAAAAAATGATGTAAGCTTTGGTTTACGAAAATTTATATATATTTTTAGTGGTTTAGATTGGAAATAACAGTTTAGTTAAATGAAGTTTTCTACGGTATAACTAGGAAACTATATGGTTTATTTAGGCTCTAGGCATTTCCTTTCATTACAACTTATATTTAGCTTTATTTATTTGACCAAATAAGTATTTTCTTTCTTTTCGATGATCAAAAGATCTAACTTAATGTAATCTAACATAAAAGGAAGTGTGAATAAAGATGTATGTGGCGGATTTAGGGGGGGGGGGTTCATTGGGTGCAAATGAACCCCCCCCCCCCCTCTTAAAGTCCTGGATCCGCCACTGGATGTATGGTATTGTATTTTCTTTGGCTTTTCCAATTGAATTCTTCAAGTTGAATTTGCCAGAATTTTTTTTACACGTAAAATTCCAATTCATTTTTTCCTAAACCTTTCGTACCCTACTAAATTCAAAATGCATTTTGTATAATTTAGATATTTTTTGCAAAACTTACTTAACTTTATTTTCTTTATCTTTATCGTAGCATCCCAAGGTAAGTGAATTTTCTGCTATCTTGACATCCCTATCCCTGTCCATCATCACTGTCATCATTATCATGATCATCACTGGTATTGATCACCATGACCATCATCATCAATTTTTAACCTCACGATAACAATCCTTTTCATCATTATCACCACCAACCCACCGTCACCATAACTGACCATAATCATCATCAATCCACAAGTTAAACCTCACAATAACCATCGCCTTCATCTATATCGCACCAAACCATCATCATCATCACTGTCATCGCCGTCCTTATAGCCACTAATAACCATCAATCATTTAAAACACTTTTGTGATCTTATTTATTTCAATGATTTTCACCAGAAATCTTGCATACACTTGCCATTTGTTTTATTGTGTTCTGCATCATCCTTCTGATCATTGCCATGATCCTTCCTATTATACTCTACCGAAGACTTAAGCAACAGAGAACCAAAGGCTACATTGGAAGGTAAGATTTTTAGTCCTAAAAACAAGCAAATAAACAATTATTTCTATGAGTTATTAGTCTCCTGAAAAGGTACAAAGCTGCAACCGGATAGTTATCAAGCGGTAGACACATTTTACATGTTTCAAACGTCGTCCTTTGGGGACTCCATCCTCAGGCTGAAGTTCAGTTTCAGTTTCAGTTCAAAAGCTTTAGTTTTTTGATGTGAAATGCTTTTCATGATCCTCAGCGGTCTCAGCTTTGTAGCTTTTTGGTGACTAACTTCACTTCATTGATAACCAAGGCCCAGTTGTTCAAAGTCCGATTAGTGCTAGTTCTGGGTTAACTCTTAATAAGACCTATAGAGTTAATCCTGGATTAGCGCTAATCCAGCTTTGAACAACCCGGCCCAATTGTATGCTTAAAACCAACCAAATAAGTAAGCACGCAAACAAACAAGCATGAAAGCAAAATAACAAACCAATTACCCATTTAAGAAAAGAGGTTTGGAGTTTTACGGATGGAGTTTTATAACGCGTTATGGCGTTAGTAATGGAAACTATACATTAAGAGTGAAGAATCGCTGGCCCTTGCAAGAAAGCGTGACACAAGCCAAACCTTCCCTTCCTTCCTTCACTCAATTCAATACCTCCCATACATTGGTTCACAGGTCACACACAAAGCATTAATTAGAGGTTTTGCACCATGATATGGCAGCCATGAGAGGAAGTACAACAATAGAGTCTTTTTCCTCTGAGAAAATGAATTCTTTCTCGTGTAAATCAGATTAGACCGGACTGTGGAATTGTTCATTGTCCTGCTTCCTGACATGCATGGCTGCCATCACGTGATGGTGCAAAGCATGTATAGAGGCTGCAAGGAAGTTTCAAAGGGTTGTTCAAATTTGAACCTTACAACCTCAGTTGAAATCTTTGTGTTTGACGCGCAGTTAACCGATGTATGGAATGAAGTAGCGAATGTCAGCAGGGCAGTGGCCTGATTTATGAGTTTTCCCCTCCACAGTGCCAAGGGTTCCAGGTACGACCTGAGCGGTAGAGAAAGAAAGGTTTCTGAAGCAAAGGGCAAGGATCCTGTTAGTTTTTACGGCATCTACAACGATCCTCAGCCTGCCGACAGTATTTATCTGCCTTTGGACAAGAGGACTCAAGAGGATGGGAACTATGCTCATCTTGAGGTATCATTAATTATTATTAGTATTAGAGAACTTTAGCACAAAGTTCTTGTTAGCCGCGCAAACCTCAAACTGCACGACGTCAGGCGCTTTCCGTCAAACTTTCTTCATTTATCAAGGCGTCGTAATGAAGTTGCTGGAAGAGTGGCCATATTGAATTTCAATGATGCCGAGTGTTTCTCGTTAGTGGTTAGCGGTAAACACGATGATAAAGGACTCTATTTTTACCCATCATGACCAAACGTTCTTTTCAATCATCATTATGTATTGTCATCGTCATCGTTACCATCAACAAATATCATTATCATTATCACCATCATCATCATCATCACCATCATCCATTTTATATTATGATTACTACGCGCCATCACTGATATAAGAATCACTCAGTACCAATGTGACATTATAATAATCTCTATAACCTTCTATAATTGATATTATCATATGACCCGTATCTGCACGGGCGCGCGCTCTTAAAAAAAACCTCGAGGAAATTGGCGTGAGCAGGGCCGTACGGCTTTGGACGAGCAGGGCTGTACGAATCCTTTCGGCCCTGCTCGAAACCTGCGACCGTATTGACATAATTTGCAACTTTTAAAATATCTTTTTTATTTAGGGTCATATGATAAAATGCTTATTGACTGAGTTAGGTCGGGTCGTACGGGAAAATATTTGGTTCTCGGTCACTTGTACGGACCTTGTTGCTCCATACGGCATCACCTCGAGTCAAATATTTTCCCGTACGGCCCTCCCACTCAGTCAATAAGTACATATTATATCATCGTAATCTCTATAACCCGCGGATCCTTTATCAAATATTTTAAAGTCAAAAACCAAAACCTTAAAACATTTTCTGTCTTAACTTCGCCCAGGGATCCAAAACACAAGAAGATCCCCACGCATACGAGGAGCTGAAAAAGAACAACAACACATTTGTAGCGGCGGTATACGACAACCCTACGGCAACAGACAACGATGATCACGACTATGAGATTGCTGACGCTACCATTGTACGCCCAAAGAGCAAAGACTACGATAATCCACCATGCCAGTCTGACACTGCCCTCTAGTCTCGTCATTACTGAGCACTAATAGTCACGCTAATCCCCCCCCCCCCCCCCCCCCCCCNCCCCCCCCCCCCCCCCCCAATATATTTTGCTGCAAGCTTGTCTGTACCATAATGGAATCTATCTCGCTTGTAAGAGATACTAATAAAACTGTCACGCTCATCTTTATTCGACAAAAAAGAATTTAGTATTGTAATGATAGGTTCAGGATACTAAGAATTTTTAAATAACAAAATTTCAAGTTACGTCATCGCGGCCATGTTTGTACGATTTAACAAAAGATTTGATTAGCTTCATCGTTAACAACACCAAGATGGCCGCCATGTTTTTGTCTTGGATTGCAACCCATCAATATGTTTTCTCAAGTGGTTTTAGGTTGATTCTCATGTAGTCTCGAGTTTGATCTATATTTAATCTGTCTCCTATTATTCAATCAAAAAAATGTTTTTATCATGACTAAGTTTCCTGTAAACTTTATTTAAATCATTGTACTAAACCTGTATGTCTGCTCTGTTTTAAGCTGACCAAGGAAATTCCTCTTGATCCTGCACGATTTCTCGTATATCTTGCTTTGGACGGTCAGGTGCGGGGGGTAGGGCTGTTATTACCCATTCCCCTTTGAATTAAAAAAAAATCTAAATTATCTAATAAGCTTTGGCTGTTGTATAACTGCGGCGGTGGGACAATCACAACAGAGCTAGGCTCAAACCTTGAAAAAGCGGGCTTTCTATAGGGGTAACTTCCAACCCCCTTGACATTTTGTCCTGGATCTGCCTTTGGTTTTACCTCTGCCTTTACCTCTGCTCTGCCCCTTTTTCTGAAGAATCAGAATAATGCGTTTTGATGCAAAAAGGCAGTAGCTTGGAACTTTAAATCAAAACAATGAATGACTGCAGGCTAGAGACAATACAATGACATCTAATGTCTCAGTTAAGAGAAAAAGCTTATCGAAAACAAAGATATCACGGAGGCACTTGCTGCATGCAAGGAAAAAAGTTTCATTATGAGCTTCTTTTGCTCGTATCAAGTGTACAAGTACTTCGTTGGGGGGAGAGGGGGGGGGGGATACTACAACTCAGAAAGCGCGGGAGAGGGACTCTACGTTTAAGAATAGAAGCCCCCAGCCCCTCCCCCCTCCCCCCTCCCCTTATCCTTTTGCTTACAAGGCTCATGCTTTGCCTCTTGCTGCTTATATTTTCCAATCTAAACCACCACTATTGAGGGTGCTCTGACCTTAGAGTAAAAATAAGATTGTGAATGACATGGGGATGAAAGAAAAATGCCAAAAGCTTCCAATTCTAGAACTCATTCAGTGATTAACCAAACTCTCACCAAGAGAAATGATGAAAAGGTAAATTATACACCGTGAAAAGATGAAAAAACTTACAAACCAGTTTCCCGCCATTTTAATCTAGCTAACCATTCTCTTTCTGACTTCATTGTTTTCGGTCTTTCTTTGCTTAACGGCAACAATGATTGTCGCAAGACCAAAGAAATGCGGCTTATTCACCTATTGGGCACTCTTAGTCCCAACGGGATTAATGAACGCTTTATTTTCAACTAACCTTTTCTTTTGTCTTTTGATTGTTTGTTTTTGTTTCCTTGCCTACCTTGCTCTCATTGGTTTCTTTTGTCTTATTCTATCATATATACACTCCTTTCTACCACTTCTTTCTCTTTTACTCCGACGAAGGACTAGCGTCCGAAACGTCAGTAAGTTTTTTCATCTTTTCACGGTGTATAATTTACCTTTTCATCATTACTGTTTCATTAGAAACACCGACGCAGCTCACACTAGTTTTTAGCTAGTTATATCTTTTTCTCACCAAGAGAGTTCAGTTCATGATCCTCTCGCAGCATACGAGCTGCGAGCCGGAAAACCAAACTAGAATTAAACACGTTACAGTGGAATGTTGATCCTCACAAGGCATAAATCTTTTGTTCCGACAAATCCAATGCAATTCTCCCCTAGGCTTATAAATGAATATATATGAGCCTCTTTGGATTATCACACACGCAATCCATGACTTTGGATCCAGTCATTACAGGTAAGTGAAAACTTTAAAACGTTTTACTAGGCTTCTTAGAGTTTCCGATCGATCCGAATGTGGTCCTGACTTTGAATACGTTCGAGTTAGAGACTGAAGTCTTCTTTTAGATTCTGATGGATTAGAAGGATGGAGAAAAGAGAACTAATGATGTGGTCCTAGTAGTTTGAATACGTTTTTGGTTGACGTAGTGAACATAGCCGACGAATACTGTTCAGTTTTTATTTCAAAAAGTTACCAACGTAGCTACTGCATAGTAGTTAGTTTATTTTGCTCAATGAGTCTAGGGTATCAGTCAGTAGAGCGTACAGTAGAGTTTGGAAGGGAAAAAATACGGCTTACTATATTGTACATTGGTTGCTGTTTAACCGACCTCTGAAGCTATAGAATTAAAATGCATGCACTATTAAAAAGATACACAACACACAAGAGAAATTGAAAATTAAGCTTAAAGATGAGGACGAAATAATATAAAATAAAAATAAGAAATAGTTTCCTATATCGTATTAATATCGAAATATCCACTAATTTATTTATGTTCCATCCAGAACTACACGGAGCAGAATTTGGCTCAAATTTATTGAATCCGGCGCCCTCGGCGGGACTCAGCGTGGTGACCTGTTGACCGCGGGCTGCCAAGGATAAAATACACGATCATAACCACCACATAAACTACATACGCTATAGCTTCAGGGTTATTATGAACAAACACATAGGGGTGTGCCGCCAGGACCTCAAAACCCTGACCCTATCCCAGACCTAAAATTTTGATTTTACATACCCTACCCCAGACTAAAACTAAGAATTGTACACCCTATCCCAGACTAAAAGACGGAAAATACGGTTTTTCAACAGATTGCAATCAATATTTTTTTGTGCCGGCAGAAAGCGTAGCCTATTCGCCAGACAAAAATGAACAAATCGTTAACCCTATCCCAGACTAAAACGATACCCTATCCCAGAGAAAATGTCAAAAAATGATACCCTACCCCAGACCCAAAAGCCGAAAAACCATACCCTATAGGGCGGCACATACCCGTATAGCAAATATAGGGGAGTACCCCCCCCCCCCCGGGTATTCACAGATAACATTAAAAGTCCGTGGGATTTCAAAACATTGTTAATGTTCAAGCTGTATATGCAGTTGACTTTTTTTGAATGATTTAATCTTAAACGAGGCTAAGCCTGTGCAGATGAGTCTTTAGTCATAAAACGAAGCGGTGTTTACCAAATAAGAAGAGACTATTAGCTAGGTTGACGATTGATGTAAATATTTCTTCATGACTGGGTGATTTCAGCCACGGGGCGAACTTGAGCGGTGAGTCTTTTTTATGTATTTATAATAGCATTGACCATAGTCACCTTTAACAGCATGAAGCAATTTTAATTTTGATCATGCCGTGATCCAATGGGTTTAGCAACAAGTTAAACTAGATTCATGCTGCTCATACAAGCAAAATAACAAAACAACGGTCCAAAACGTCAATCAGGACACAGTTGTAAGAAGGGTGGATAGCGCTATCCAACGAATAAATCGTATCAAGTTGATAAATGCGTTGGACAACAACATCGACTTATCCACATTATTATTTTTTTCTCGAATCAAGGAGAACTTTTATTGAAAAACGATTCTTTGTTATTCTTTCGAGAAGGTAAGAGCTGGAAGCGTAATACGAAGGATCTTGACCTTAGCTTTCGATGCTTCTGTTTTCCTTGATCTCCAAAACCGCAACCAGAATATACACCTATTTCAAAAGTCATCTGAAATCTGAAATTTATAGACCGACTAAATGCAGCAAAATAATACATTCACAGTCGACTGAACAACATAGTTTCCTTTTAGATTGAATACGAAACATGACCTTTGAGTTAGGAATGGGATTTTTCGTATTTTAGCCAGAAATTATAAAAGCACAATAAATACATATAGTCTCAGATCGCCCATTTCCGTTCTCCCATTTGTGATCTCTGACCGCGAGCAGGGACACCTTTCTACTCGTGCGAACTATTTAGAGTGTTTATATGTGAAGAAGTTGTCCCTATAAACCCTTGACAACTATCGGCTTCAGTGGAGATACGTATGCTCAAACGAAAAACTTGTCTCAGTTAGGCGAGTTAAAGCTTTTCATAGGGAAAAGTTGTCCCGGGTACCAGGGTCACCCTCTTTCGAGAGGGTAATACTACCAGGATTGTGACCCTTCTAGCCGAGGCATAGTAAAATATCTCATGTAAACGGTCGAGATGAATTTACAAAGAAAATAGGGAAAAGTTAACTCGCCCAGGGTAGCACGGGGACTGAAGAGGGTATCCCTTCTACCAGGGACGAGTTTTCTCCAGTAAACGGCCTCTTAGTCAGCAAATTGTTTACACGTCACAATGAAATGTATCCATTTTGCTTTCCTGCATATTTCTTTATGCGCTTAAAAAGCCATTAGCTTCTCTGTAGCTTTTTCTCTTCTTGCTTCTCGGTTCTGGCTCTAATAAATAAAGTATTGAACGTATTCAAGGCCGAATCGTGTGTGGCACTAGTTTGTCTCATTAGCATGTTAATTTAGTCTCCAGTCATTTAAAAGTTAAATGTGGGTTATATGAAATCGTTGTAAATGAAAAACAACGAAAACTCAAAAGAAATGCGAAATGAAATCAACTTCCAAGACAACAAATCTTTCAGACAGCCGGGCCGATAATAACCTTTGTTTTACATTGCACTATAAAATAAAAGCTGGTGGCTAAGCGTCTGTCATTAGGATGCTCATAAATGTTTAAACATCTATCACACCTGACATCGAGTGACTGACAAAGGATACTGTATTTATCTTATAGAAATCTTCAGCTTCAACATAAGACCTTCATTCCTACATTACTTCTGTTCGTTTGAGGGAAATATTCACCTTATCGTCATTGTGTTTAATTCTCTATGGAATCCGCTAGAATGGCAAACTTTGATGGTTAGTAAGTGTGTTTAAGATATAATTCTAACAGGCCGATGCGTTAAATAAGCGAAAACTCTTCAAAATGTTCTGAATCCACCTATGTGATATAAATTTTAAAAAATTCGACTTACATTTATGTCAAAACTAAAATCATGGTGATAAATACAAATTTAGTCAACTGTTTTTGAAATTTTTGGCGAAATTCTGTTCGTCGTATGAATATAATGAATGAATATTCTAAAAACTTAGAGGAAAAACACAGGGAGCCCGAACTGCTTAAATACCCATTATGGACATCATAAAAATTTACTGGGTTGCCTGTTTAAGAAATTTATAAAAATGCGTTTCGTTTATCTGATTTCTCCTGTGTCAGAAAATGCTAAAGTTGCGCAATAGTACCCAATAGTGCTGAATTTCAAGGCCCAGAAATATTTTTAAAAATTACCATATCTAATGTGAATTGGTATCGGAACTGAATCGCACGATCTCGAGTAATATTCGGAATTTATAGATACTCGTGATGTTTTGGACTCGCCTTTTTGGAGGCTGTGTGATTTTTTGTTTATAATACACTCAACAAAATTGAGCAGCTTAATTGGGACTCTACAGAGTACAATTTGGGATTTAATTGTACTCCTCTCGTCCTATCAGAATCGAGTAATTTTGTTGAGTGTATTTTAAATATGATAATCCAGCCTTTGATAGCCTTGATTGAAGACAAAACGCTTACCTCCTACTAAATATCATCCAAGTACATTTCTATCAAAAACGGGCCACTCAGAAATCAGTAAACTATACTCTATCAATCCTATGATTCCTTGTTTCTAAGATAATTTTTCTTCAAACCTCAATTGCTAATTCTGATATATCTATATATATATTTCTTTTTTTCCTTAGCAAAACACAGCTATCCACCTGACTTATCGGAGTCTTCAAACGATAATAACGGTATGTAAGAATATATAAACAGAGGTGATACAATACCTAAAATTGATGCATTCCTTGTTATCTCTGTGTTGTATGTATTGGAGATGAGTATTGCGAGCCTTCTAGCTTACCAAGCTTCATCATGACGTGACATCATACTCCTGGCTTGAGCTATCATCGCGGTATCGAAGCATGTTTTGCCTGCGACAAAAGTTAAAAAATTATTATTTTTAGTATGAGTGTAGAAAATATCGTAACGTTATCGGAACGTTACCATGACAAAACACGTTTTCTTTGATGGGTATTGCACTCGTGCTGTGATTGGTTAAAATGTTGTCAATTGGTTAAAATGTAGTCATTCCAATTCTACTGATGTTGACAATGTTGTGACGTCAAAAACTAACTCAACCTAGTTTCCCCTCATATCTTCACGGCGCGCAAAGAACCGCGCCTGGAACTAAATATTTTAACGATTTTTCAACAGCTTTATTTATGTGTTTGCTGGCGATGAGTGTGGTGTGTATCATACAACTCTTAATTTGTGTCCTGTTTGCATACAAAGGCTGTAAAGCTAAATTCAGGTAAGTGAGTACAAGTTCAGTTCACACCTTTTAAATGGTGATAATTAAGAATTATTATATATTTCCTGTTCTTCAGCCCGGAACCTCCACCTTACAGCCCTTGGAGTCCATTTTTAACTCTTCGTCAAAGTCAACAGGCATCAGATTTTAATGAACCGCCACCAGCTTACGTGACAGTCCAAAACGAATTGCGTGACATTAATGAGCCTTGCTTAGCGTCACAAGGGTTGGACAATGAAGAAAATGATCGTCAATGTGATGTAGAAGGCGTGACACCGACTTCGACTTTACAAGATATGAATGACGAGGAAAGTAACGAAAGAATACGTGACACAACAAATGGGACACATGAAGAGTTATCTACAATGTCACAAGTAACTAATAATGATACGTCACAAGGGTCGGATAATAAAGAAAGTAATCGTCAATGTCATG